GTTACTAAGATATGAGGCTATCCACTGAAGTGTAGGACCCCTAATGCCAACTAATTCAAGTTTTTCGAGTAACAAATTATGGGAAACTAAGTCAAAGGCTTTTGAAATGTCAAAAAATAGACCAGTGGTCAGATTATTTTTATTGATGTTGGTAACTATAGCCTTTACAAGAGAAAATATTGCCAATGTAGTAGACTTATTTTCCTGAAAGCCATACTGCTCTTTGCTAATTATATGAAATTTGTCGCAATAGTCTATTAGTCTTTTATACATACACTTTTCATATACTTTGGACAATATGGGAATTAACGTTATTGGACGGTAGTTATTGATGTCAGATTTTTCGCCCTTTTTATATAAAGGTTTGACTATTGAGTATTTCAGGGCATCAGGAAAAGATCCCAATGCAAAAGACATATTAACTAAATGTGTCAAAATAGGAGTTAATTGGATTGCACACTCTTTAATAATTTTGGTATTAATGTCATCATATCCCACAGAATTGGAATTAGCTAACGACATTATCAATTGTTTAACCTCGCTTTCCTCCATAGGTTTTAGAAACATCGAGTTGCCGGTTGTTCTAATGCGAGATGATGATTTCATGCTATTCTGGGTACTCGTATGCGTTAAGTTGATATAATGATTATTGAAAGCAGTGGCAATTTCGATAGGATCTGTTAATGTTGTGTTGTCAATTATAATTTTCTCTATGTTTCCTATACAATTTGTATCGTTCATTTCACTTTTAATTACTGCCCACGTGGCCCTACATTTGTTTCCCTTTTTGTGAATATATTTGATGTTTGAATTTTTTCTTGAATTCACTATGCATTTTTTTAAAATATTGGAATATGTCATATATTTCATTTTATTATTTGGATTTTTATTTTTATAATATTTATATCGTAGCTTACGTTTTTTTTTGACAACTTATTTTTAAGCCCCTGCTGATCCAATTTTGATTATTATTACCTTTGTTATTTATTTTTACTTTCAATTTTGGAAAGCAAAGATTGTAAAATACGCAAAGCAGTTCATGAAATTCACTAAATGCATTTGCATCATTTTTTACGTATAATTGTGACCAAGATATATTATTTAGACATTCCTTGAATTTGCGAATATTGTCCGAACTATAATCCCTTCTAAATATGTAGTAAGATGTACAAGTATGCATCCTTTTTTTTATAGGAAAGCTCAACATTTGGGCGGTGTCATGGTCCGAGAGATGGAGAGGCATAACTGACGTAATAGCATTTGGAATATTGCTCAGAATATGGTCTATACAAGATGACTTGCGCGTTGGCACATCTATGTGAATTTTCATGTTATAGTTGTAGGATATGTCTTGCAGGTGGTTTAAATACAGGTTTAAATACATTAGCGCTTCCGGGAATTAACACAGTGAAACTCTGGCTAGGTATTCCTGTATCACAAGAGCCAGGTCTCTCAATATACACGGAAACATTGCACCACGTATGTATGGCTGTAATCTATACAAAGATGTAGGAGATGGAGATTACGGCAAATCTTCCTACGTTTCTACCTTCTGGTAGAGGAGGCCCATAGCACGGAAATAATTTTATTACATTCCCGTGCCCATAGTTCAGCAGTGAACCATGACTGAACGTGGTTGTTAAAGGGTTAATGATATAATACTATTTCTTAACAATGGGAACTTTTTAAACCCGTTTTCTAACATAAACAGCACATTGATTTATAAATTCCTCATTGTTTATACATATTTTATTATCGTTATTATGAATCAATATCGGTGGCTAATATTTGTTGATGGCATGTGTTCAAATAATTGTACATTAGTGTTACCAATAATTGATGACGTGTGGGCCTCGGCGAACCGAATGTTTGCATATGGATCATTTGTCAATGTTCAATTTTATGTAATAAAACAGTTTGTTAGCGTTTTAGGAAGGGAATGGAAATACATTATTCCTTCTTCTGAAAAATGCCAAGTCTAAATACTATTCTTATATCAGAGGTATTGATTGTGCTGTGTATAGAGAAATTTAAATACAATTTTACTCAAAAGAAAAGAAAAGCCATTGTATTCAGCATAGCATAGTGCCTTCGGCCTATGAATAGATGACCGAAGGCATGCAATGATGGTAAATTACTTCACATAAAAACAATAATTAATTTATACACACACAGGTAAACAGTACAAATTCCTACGACTAAAAGTCGTAGTATCTGAATGAAAGTCATCTATATTACGGCTGCGTCGCTTCCGCGTCTCCGGCGGAAACGACGGCTCTCGTGTGATTAACTAACTACAAATGCTGCCTATGTATTCGTATTTATGTTCTGTATGAAGTTAATCTATTCATCTCTAATTTGTAGCTGAATATATCTTGATTTAACAAGGATTAATATGGGAGAGTATTTATCAATCAGACTATCTGGAAGTCATCGGGGGAGCCCTTTATGTTCAGAGGACGTCTTTGTAGGTGATATGGTGAATAGGGGAGATAATGGAATACGAAGCCATGTTATGCGGACTTCAAATAACTTTAGAGGACAGAAATAAATAGAAGAATGCGCTCAAATTGTGAAAATAACGTGGTCTTCTCATGCATGAAGGTGTTTCCTTACAAGCATTTTTTTTAAATTCATCAAAATTTTACGTACATTCTAAGATTATTTAGATACCACTGACAAACGGTGAAGGAAAACATCTTGAGGAAACCTGGGCTTATAATTTCCAATTATAAATTTGAAATCGCGAACCCGCATTAAGCAAGCGTGGTGATTAATGCTCAAACCTTCTACGTGTGAGAAGAGGCTTTGCTCAGCAGTGGGCATTTATAGACTGTGGATGTGCTCAAATTATGTCATCAGTCAGGGTTGAATGTGAAGTGTTCTGTTGAAGGTACACTTCCATTTATGATATATACCTAATTGTTATTTACATACGATTATTGTAAAACATTCCTTTAGAAATGGTAAACAAAGGGTGATAGAAAAATGACGTCAATAATAATTTACTAGTGCCACTTTACTTACGTTTATTTTAATACCTTCTATATTAGTCATAGTAAAAATATCATATTATGTTCATACGACCTAGAGACTAATGTAAATATCGATATTTTTAGTGCTCAACCTGTTCCTAAATAGGCCGTAGACAGAGTACGTTTTTTTTAAGGGGGGAACATCATCGAATTGCTTCTCCCGCCTTGGTGAGGCGGGAGGGAGTGTCAGATTCTTACTGACTAAAAACCACCCCGTTCCTACTCCTGCACTTCGAACCGGAGCCCCGGTAACCCGTTAGGTTCTCCGCGGCTCTGCATGAACCCTATTGGACTCCATCCGTGGTGGTCTGATGGCCCTTTGAGGCGCGCGCGAGACAGACATACCTTATGAGTTGGACATTCATTAACTATCTTCCGTGAATAACCTAAAGAGCTGTATTATTCATAGAATAACAATTTCTACGTAAACAAATAACAAGAACACAATAAAATTAATAGTAATGATTCCGTATACCATTAATTTTGCGAATAGTAGGCTTCAAAGTACCAACCACACAATAAATGCATTCGTTATTGCCAGTACGAACGGTTCACGCTGCTGTCGCTATGAGCCGATAACCGATTACCGTTGAATAATCGATTCTCGATTGTACTCGAGTGTTATCGATAAGCTCTCGAGTCAGCCGACCTTCATGTGTGAATATTTTGCATAGCAATTAAGATACGGGTTTGTGATACTGTCATTGTTGAATTAGCTGTTAATCCTTCTCGTGGAAGGATCATCTCTCTAACGATGTGTAGCATGTAATAACGGGTTGTTTGTCTAATTTTATCCATGTTTTTAGCTTTAACTCGTCGAGTACCGGTTTTGCAGACACAATTATAGAACAATAGGTCACCGGTGACCGCTTGGTGTTTGACAGTTTAAAAGTGAAAATGAACACTGTTTTTATAACATAACATCACGCCTTTTATCCCCGAAGTGGTAGGCAGAGGTGTACATACGGTACTTAATGCCACTGAACAACGTAACACCCACTTTTCACTATTTATGTTATGAGTCCCATGTAATAGGGGGTGAGCCTATTGCCATTTACCGGGCACAATTCCAGACTCCGTCCTACTACTGAGAATTTTTGAAAAACCCAGTGTTACTTTGCCCGACCCGGGAATCGAACCCGGGACCCCTTGCCCGGCAGTCGCACTTGCGACCACTCAGCCAACGAGGCAGGCGATTCGACGACAGTCGACACTGTTTTTATAATACTTACTTCTCGTATTACTTAGTTTTGATATACGCATACATGCGCGAGCAATCCATTAACCAGAGATCCAAATTCTGTCAATTATTTCATCAATCAACATAACCATTAGTACTATGTTACCTATTTCTACGCTACTAACTAAATAAAACATCAATGTTTGTTCGATATTCCTTGTTTATGACATTCGAGCTACGGCTATGATACAGTAAAATTAAATTCTGTCTACTGCCACCCTACCGTGATTCGAGGGGGGCGCTGTGGGGCGCCGTAAAAATCTCATTTTAGACTGTAATAGCATGTCATCTTAGCGACAATTTTGTCCCGTGATGGGTATAAGGCAGTTGTAGATATGTCGTGTATTTTGTGAGGTATTTTTTCTGTATATCCTGGATAGTCTAGCTTCTATGTTTCTTTATATTGTTATTGTATTAGTATTGGCACGCATTTGGTGGCAATTTTAACTGAAACTCAGAATTTTTGCGATATAACCGTATTTTATTCAAGAAGAAGTTCTGTTTAGTAAAGGACATTGTTTATTCTCTTATTTAAAAAAGGATCAGAACTGCTTATGTCTATTCAGTCGAAATAATTGACGACGTGCTCCATCGTAGGCCGTATTATAGCTTACCACCAGATTCTTCAAGAACTTGTATATTACTCATCATGGCACACATTTCTCGAAGTTCATTGAGGAGAATTCTATAAGCTTTTTTAAATGGTACCTTCTGTTTGTTTTCAGGACGAAGAATCATTAGAATCGACGCGTCCAGTTCCGAATATCACCCACCACAGCATCATGTACGCTCCCAAATGCCTCGTCATCGTATCGAGGCAGGACTACATCGATACCTTCAGGGTAAGCATAAACTTCTTGGTTCAGGCGATCCGTCTGCTTTTTGCGTCGATATGCCACAATAAAACTTCATCATACTTAAAATGCAACAGGTACTTCCAATGCAAGGGGTACAAGCAATTTGTGGGGCAAACAGATTATTATTCTTATTAGGTTGTCGATTTACTGGACTGTTAGTGCGATGGCTGGGCAACCAACTGCTGCGCAACGGGTAGCGGGTTCCCGCACGGAGCAACTCTTTGTGTGATCCACAAATTGTTGTTTCGGGTCTGGGTGCTATGTGTATGTGATCTTGTATGTTTGTAAATGCACAAACGACACAGGAGAAAATCCTAGTGTGGGGCAACGTTTTCCTAAAAATAGAAAAAGATTTTCTATGTTCGTACCCAGTGACCTAAGTAAGTATGTCCTTAAACCTCTATTGCTATATTGTGTCGATGTGGATATCTGTTTATGATTTCTTAGAAAAATATGTGTGATGATGGTATACTCATAAGGTCGTAAAGCGAAGATACTTTCACATAAAATTGATTGATAGAATCTGCGAAGCCTTTTTCATAACTAAGTTTCTCTCGAATCCTTCGATGTTCTGCTAAAAGGCAATATTTCACGCTGAGTGGCTTGCTATGCATTTTGCATTAAAAGCTTTTACCCATTTAGTGTTTTATTCTGCAAAGGGTAAGTAAGCAGACGTGCACGTTATAGTATGTAACATCCACGTGTCACGATTTAGACCTATACATTTCTATTTTCCAGAACTGCCTGGGTATAATCTACACAGTATGGGTGGAGAACTTGGGCGTGCCTCTAGAGACGTTGGTCGGTAACTTGGTGGGCGGCGTGCTGGTGCCGGACCCTGGCGGGCCGCAGGTGCGGTTCAGCATCGGAGCTGGGGACCGCCAGGCTCTACAACCTCCCGCCGCGCCGCCCATGCCAGTTACACACACCGCTGTTTATATGCTGTTGAGGTTGCTTGGTAAGTAGCGTCTATAGTACTTTAAAGATACTAGGTTTCTTAACGTAGTTAAAAGATAGTTTTGATTAGTACATGTGTAGGAGAATTGTAACATACCTACTACCTATGTACCTACCTAGTTAAAAGTACCCTTTAAAAATCAGTAGGGGGCACTTTAGTATGATTTTGAATTTACCTCGAAAATCAAAAGATGAGTATTAAGAAGATAGACTTTTGTTTAGGCGTTTTGATTGAAAAGTGCGTGTAGTTGTTTAATAACTTAACACGTGGATTAAGACTCTCTTTCACTGATATAACTAAAAACAATTTCAAAGAAGCCCCCAAACAGCGTTAACCTCACATCCACACTTTAATATTCCAGGTATACACAACTCAGTAACACTATGGTGTGCAGTGATGAGTGAGCACAAAGTCCTCCTGGTCTCCTTGGCAGCAGCTCGACTGGCGGCAGCTTGCAGAGCTCTGGCGGCGTTGATGTTCCCATTCAGATACGCCCATGTCTACATACCTCTGCTGCCAGCCGGTCTAGCTGAAGTACTCGCCACACCGACGCCGTTTCTTATCGGAGTCCATTCCAGTTTAAAAGAGGAGGTCTCGGAATTGGTAAGTTTTTTTTGTACAGAAAAAAAAGAGTGCAATCCGTATATCCTTCTTATAAGTATTTGTTTATTAAGAGAGATTGCTGAATGTCAGTGTGACCAGAGCAGACCATCTGTACAACGTGTTGTATGATTTTTAAATTAAAACACTAGTCTGTATATTTGGTAATCCAATCATGCAGGCATCCGAAATAAGACAAAATCAGATAATATTTTACTCAGGTTTAGAAAATTTGTGCACACAAATTCTATTGTTTTCAGAATATAAATCATGTAATTAAATAGCCATTTTCTCTAATTCTGAAAGTACCCTTAACCGACGAGCATGCATGAAAAGATTGATGACTGTTAATGAAGCGAAAGAGGTATGTAAGAATCATAGTAATTGGCGTTCCTTAGTCTCTGCCTACCCCCATGGGAGACAGGCGTGAAGTTATGTATGTATTTCTCTAATTCCAGTTGGACGTTATAGTAGCAGATTTAGACGTAGGCTCTCTCCACATACCGGCTGGTGTAAACATTCCCCGTCCAGAAGGCAAGCTGCTCTCGTCACTGCAGGAAGCACTAGCGCTGGTGTTACAGCCGGAGCTTCGGTCCGCAGACTCGGCCTTCGCCCCACCACCACCAGCCTCGTCCCCACCACATATGCTAGATAAGGAGATCAGGGCTGTGTTCATGAGGACCTTGGCGAAACTGCTGCAGGGATATAGGTACGTTGGTTTGATCGAGAAGTACTAATCAAGCTACCCTTAATTATACAGTGCAGTAGCGTCAATAGATTGTGTGCTTAATAGTTTTGTAATAAAGTCGAAAATCCATTGGACTTCTTCTGATGGTATCTAATAGAAGTTGTGTATTGCTTAAAAGGTCATTAAGCATGACAACTGTGTGGTAATAAGTTCCTTTTTTATCGACATAAATGTGCATAAATGTGTGTAAAAAATGGCTCCAAACAAAATGGCATTTAAACGTAGTGTTCGTGAGGCCTATTTAAAGGCGCTACAACGCTGAGTTCGTGTCTTCTTTAATTTATATCTTCGTCAATTTATATCATATTATAATTATATATATGAAGTTATTTATGTATGTACATATTTTGTGTTTATTATATATTTTTATACAGTATGTTATACAGTATTTATTATTATTATTACTATTAGTTATTTATTTTGTTTTTTTTTTTGGATATTACACAGGCCCATTTTCGCTGAGCTTACATTTAACCCAAAGGTTGACTGGGAGAAAATGCCATATGGCATTAAGTCCGCCTTATGTACCTTATTTTGTGTGCATTAAAGTGTAAAATAAATAAATAAATAAATAAATCTATGCTTAGAAGATTAGATCTCTGCTTACATGTATGAATTATGAAACATACTCATAATGTAAAAGCATCCTGTTATTACAGAGAAATTAATAATATATTCACGTGTTTTTTATCTTGTATGTGTCTATGTTTATTCCAGACATTGCTTAACAATAATCCGCATCCACCCGTCTCCCGTCCTAACGTTCCACAAGATGGGTTTCCTGGGCGCCCGCGGTCTGTCGCAGTGTCAGTTCGCGGTGCGACTGCTGGACTCCATGTTCTTCAACGGTCTGGTGGCTGAACGAGGTCCGCCTTGGAGAGCCACCGATATATGGGATGAGCTTGTACAGTAAGTATATTACTTATATTATAAACTAGCAAACCCGGCGAACTCCGTTTCGCCACCAGATGGCTTCGTTTTATGTAACATTCTTTGCTATAAACCTCACGAAGCCCGAGACCTTTCCAACGAATGCAAAACCGTGAAAATCGGTTCGTGCGTTCTGGAGTTATAGCGTCAGGAAGGAAAACCCGACTTATTTTTATAAAGTAGATGAAAATACGTTAATATATCGTACCCACAATTTTTTCATACAAAAGTAGTCTCTAAACACCGGAAATAAGGTCTATAAGGGAGTTAGTGTAGAACGGTCACGAGGTAGGTAGGATAGAGATGGGACTTTACTAATTGAAATTATCGATAAGAACTAGGTAATAAGTAGAACACATTGTTATAATATACAACTAGCGGCCCGTCCCGGCTTCGCACGTCTTTGGTATTTATTATTTTTTTGTTTTATTGTATTTTTTTTTGTTTTATTGACCGCTAGTTGTCTATTATAACAATGTGTTCTACTTATTACCTAGTTCTTATCGATAATTTCAATTAGTAAAGTCCCATCTCTATCCGAAAGTTAATCATGGAAGCGCTTCGAGGAAATAAACTTTAATATTTTTAATCGTTCCTCAAAGCGCTCCCAAAAGGAGCGCTTAGATGGGCGCGCTTCAAAACGGGAGCGCTACGAGGAATACCTCACGGTCACCAGTCACCGCTTGGGGATTGAACAGATAATAATGCGAATAAAAAGACAAATACAATATAAGAATGTATATTTTTATGGGATACGATCGACAAATGGGCAAACGGATCACCTGATGATAAGCAATCGGTTCAGCCCATGGGCACTCACATCATTCCAATCCACTTGCAAACCCCAAAAGAGACGGTTAAGGATTTGGGGATTGGTTATGGGTAGGATTGAACTTCCAGTTGGTCTACTCACCCGACGAAACACAATGCTTTGATTGTTTCACGCCGGTTTTCTGTGAGGCCGTGGTATGTCACTCCGGTTGAGCCGGCCCGCCAAAGCACGGCTCACCCACACTTAAATTGGATGATAGCTTAAAATTGTACAATAGTGGACGACTTAATGTGTATTGAAAAACTATGAAACTCTGTTTATTTTTTACAGAAATCTTCCAGAACAAGTTCGGTTGGAATCTCTGAACCCTGAGCTGGAGTTGCAACACATACAGGACTTGGCCATGCAGTTACATCTCAATGAAAATCCGAATCCTCAGGTTAGTTGCTGTGTGCCTTCACGATAATAGTGATTTTCGTAAAGGAATATAAAACATAACATCGTAACATTACTCCTTTTGTCCCCGACCCACTTTTCACTATTTATGTTATGAGTGAGATATGCGGTGAGATGAGGTGTAATAGGGGGTGAGCCTATTGCCATATACCGGGCACATTTCCAAACTCTTTGCTACTACTGAGATTTTGTTTAAAAACCCAGTAATACTTTGCTGGGAAAGTAACCCGAGACCCCTTGCGCCGAGTAAGGGGTTTCAACTTGCGACCTCTCGGTCATCGAGGCGGTCAAATATAGAACATTACCTATATTTATAATAATATATAATGCCTAGCTCGTATTGATTATAACACAAAAATTATTATTATATTCGTAACAATAGTTCCCAAGATTAGCGCGTTTAAGTAAACAAACTTAGTGCCGAATTCCGTCTTATGGATGGTATATAATAAATGCTTTGATTGGTTTCCAGGCGTTCCAGCAGCGCATCCTCCGTCCCCCAGAGGGCGCGTCGTCCCGCATCCACCAGCCCCCCCTGCCCGCACTGGACGCGGCGCGGGTCAGGGATGTCATGAGGGAGGTCGCGCAGAGGAGTGCTGCCAATCCCAAGTACGTCATTTCGTATATTTATAAACTAGCTACTTTTGCGCGGTTTTACCCGCCCTGCTCGGTGCCTATTGATTGTAGCGTGATGTTTTATAGCCAGTAGCGTTCCTCGATATATGGGCTATCTAACGCAAACAATATTTTTCAAATCGGACTAGTATTTCCTGAGATTAGTGCGTTCAAACAAACCAGCTGTTCAGCTTTATTTATTGAATATGCTTCATGCACAAAATGTACAAATAGGTGGACTTAATGCCACAGGCATTTTCTACCAGTCTGACCTTTAGGTGATGCAGAGAAGAGTAAATGGTAGGTGCAAGAAGCAAGCAATGATTTTATTTAACAATGAAAGATAAACTAATATATTTCAGAGATATAAATACATAAATGTAATTATAATTATATACCTACATATGAGTACAATATGTCTACATATATACATACATACGATATAAATATATACTTTATGTGATAAAAAAAATAGTATAAGATTCGTGTACAAACGAGCACGAGGATCACCTGATGGTATGCAAGCAACAAAAGAGTCTGAAATAATAAAGGTTTTATCAAATATGTAAGTATCTGCATCATAAGCTTAACGCTCTACAAATATGTAGCATAAGACGAAGTTAATTAGTGAAATAATGTAATATCTGTTTGTGATTACAGACTGTCAGCTCTCCGGCCCGTCCAGTCCCGTATCGTAGCTCCGGGCGCGCCCCCTACTGGGGCCGCTGACTATGGACATCTACTGCTCACCAACTCTGCTAGGAGACTCGAGGTAATATTATTTATATTGTATATCATTAAATAGAGGATAGCAATTGTGTTCTGAGATAACATACTAACATAATATTATGTTTTTAGGTAAATAATGTTACATTTACTAGTTGTGTTGTACATGACCTTGTTTTAAAGGAAAAATCATTAAATGAGATAGTAGATCTCACTCTCTGAAGAGGGTCCAATATACTACATAGACATAAATAACTTCACGCTTGTCTCCCATGGGGGTAGGCAGAGACTAAAACACCTATTAGAATAAACCAGTATATAAACCTGGCTACGTCTATTCCCAGGTGTTACGGTCGTGTATAGCCGCAATATTCGAGTGTCGCTACGCGGACGCGCGCAAGTCTCTGCCGGGCGTCGTCCGCGCGCTGCGGGCCGCGGGCGCGCGCGCCGCGCTCGTGCGGGACCTGGCCGCCAGGCTGCCCAGCAACAAGCATCTACTGCATCATCACCAGTTCGAGCTCGTCGTCAGGTAACTTAAATCAACTAGCTAGCTAGCGAACAAATATGAACTTTATTGACATAAAACGCAAATCGTTCGTGACAACAAGATCGTCTCCCGGGAGCCTCGTATAGACAAAACAGAAAGAAAATGCTGACTCACTCTGTGTTTTGCTTTTACTTCCCATTTTTCTCCAATTCCGTCTAGTACCTATACCATTAAATAGACAAAAAATGTCAGTGCTTTTTGGCTGTCACATATTTCTAAAAGTAACAATTTAAGGAACTCTGGTCTCATTTCCAGAAAATACACAAAAGCCGGATCCATTTGGTCCATTTGTTAACTCGAGTTAATTAATAAAAATACACAAAAATAATTCAACGAATACATTTTTAATCATCATCATCATCGTCATCGTCGTCATCCTCGTCGCGTTCCTTCTCGAAGCGTACCATCCACCGGGTACATATGATCTTGTGTCCCTCGTGCAACAAGTGAAGTGTCACGTCGAACGTGCCGTACAAACCCGTCTCTTCCAGTTGCTGGTAGTCTACTATAAACTCGTTGATTTTAAATTCCCCCTGAAAAAATTAATAGAGGTTTTTAGTATTTATTTGTGTAAAACAGTTTTTAATTTTTCGCGAAAGAGCTATGCTTAGGCACCAAAGGGCCTGCGCGACCGGAGCAATACCACCGCTACACAGAAAACCGGCGTGAACCAACGCTTCAGTAGTATTTCGCTGTGTAAGAGGCTTAAACTGGCAAACACCGAGCGGTCACCGGTGACCGCAACCTATTGTTCTTTAATTGTGTCTATAATGACGGTACTCGACGAGTTAATCATCCCCAGTCCCCATATCCCCAAAAGGCCGCCAACATACTTGTAACACCTCAGGTGTTTCGGGTGTCTATGAGCGGCGCCGATTGCTTACCATCAGTTGATCCGTCTACTCGTTTGGTGCCTGATTCTATAGAAAAAATCCTTTTTTTCGGGGAGTTTAAAGTTATTTAGAAATAAAATTATGTATAATATTGTATAGTCACCGTTGGTATAGGACAGTCAGGTGGGTCAAAGCCACCCAGGGTGAGGAGTTTACTCCAGTTTTCGCCAGTGTTTTCCTTGACGTACTCACAGAAGTTATCACTCCCCATCGTCTGGTGATATTTGAAACCGCCGTCCATTTCCTTGTATATAATGAGTTGTACCTGAAATCGTATACATAGTACTTCGACTAAGTACTAAGCTGTTTAAAAAAAATCACTAACCTTAGCGTCGAAATCGTTATAAATGAAGCTTCACAATACAGCTGACTTTCTAACTTCGACTTAATTATTTGGGAATTTTCGTTTTACGTAAGTATTATACTTCAGTGTGGAATAGCCATGCTTCGGCACGAATGGGCCGGCTCGACCGGAGTGATACCACGGCCTCACAGAAAATCTACGCGAGCGTTGTTTCACGTCATGTGAGTGAGGTTACCGGAGGCCTAATTACGCCCTCTGCCTTTCGAAAACCGACATGAAATAACACTCGCGTTGTTTCGCGTCGTGTGATTGAGGTTACCGGAGGCTCAGTTACTCCCCCTCCCCAGGCTCCCTAATCCCCGAGCACAATCCTCAAATTTCTAATCCCAAAAGGCCGGTAACGCCCTTGCGACGCCGATTGCTTACCATCCGGCGATCCGTCTGCTCGTTTACCGGCTTATACCATTAAAAACATGTTTTAATATTAGCATGAAAAGTGAATCTAAACACATTGTTAATGTAAATACGTAAAATAATCCACTTGATCGTTTAAAATGCTTTGCAGCGTTGATCGTATACTCACAAAGAAAAGGAAAGCGTTTATAGAGCACTGAACCTATTTAAATTGCCTACAAATAGTACTTACTCCATACGAAGAATTGATTTCTCTATCAAGGTTCATGTGTAAGTTGTAGCTGTCGTGAGTCCTGTTGATCTTGGTCCGCGATGACGTCAGTATGATGTCGTATTGGTCCGCGTCCTCGCAGTCCATCATTGTCAGTACCAGCCAACGGCCTTTTCCCTAGTTATTTAAAAAGTTACATATATTATTATAATAGATAATTGCAATTATTTCTTAGTACAGGAAACCAGTGACGACTAGCGAAGGAAACTTACAGACAGAGCCTTGTTAAAAATATATATATTTTTTTATTTATTTCGTTGCGAGATCCAAGACAATTATTCAGGTCCCTGGAACGCGCCGTACTTCAGTGTTCCGGTGTTTTCATGGTTGTTTCTACTGTAGATCCTGGCTTACAGGAGTTGCAGCGGTTTTGGGAGGTTGTGGCGGGCTAGTCCTATAACCGCGATGATCCTTACTAATATTATAAATCGGAAAGTGAGTTTGTTCCGCTATCACGCCATAACTACTAAACCGATTGCTTTGAAATTTTGCAGATGTGTAGTTAGAAGTCCGGATTAAATAATAGGGTACTTTTTATCCCGGAAAAATTTGATATTCCCGAGGGAAAACAAAAGTATTGGTATAGATGGCGCTGTGTGTATTGGTATATGTCACATTGGCTTTTTATCCTTTTGTGACGCGAGCGACGCCGCGGGTAAAAGCTAGTAAATATAATTTTACAATTGCACTACACATAGTTTAGGAATAATACTTTTTTATACATTACAAACATATGGCCCATCTAAGCAGATACCCTGTGAAAATCCTGGAGGCTTTTCAAACTATAGAAACAAGTAAAATAAAATAAAATTAGGCACTTACCAACAACTCAACATCTCCAGAACATGTCGTAAACAAAATACCGAAAGTAAACACAGAATACAATATCAACAACATGTTGTTTAAATCAGATTAAAGCGACATTGTTGTTGTTTAGCCTTAAATACTCACTACATTACATGTGAACCGACCATATTGATGATATCTCGGAAAACGATGTAAACAATATGCAATAGTTGTGTGTTTAAAATATTCTAGATTATCTTGATGTTTGATAACTTGTTGTTATTCACGTAATATCGCACGCTCTTTCCTCAGAGGTACTCATCGCTACAGTGGTCAGCAAAACAACCTACTCCTTTGTGTCAAATTCCTTTATTCGATTTGCAACTTTATTGACTTCGACTTTGACTGCCTCGTTGGCCGACTGGTCGCAAGTGCGACTGCCTGGCAAGGGATCTCGGGTTTGATTCCCGGGTCGGGCAAAATATAACTGGGTTTTAAAAAAAATCTCAGTGTTAGTACAGAGCCTGGAATTGCGCCCGGAATATGGCAATAGGCTCACCCATTACATAAATAGTGAAAAGTTGGTGTTATATTGTACAGTGGCATTAAGTACCGTAATGTGTACCTCTGCCTACACATATACCTATAAAGTTGAAAATCCAATGAAATAAGTGCAGTAAGTTTTAAATGTATGAAAAATGACGGCCCACCACTGAAGTATGGGCCACCTCTTACAAAAGTGGGGTTTGCCATAATTTTGTCGCTTGGCAGGTAGATATGATATAGCAGTTTTAAAAGTTTAAGTTTATCAGAGAGCGCTGCTGCCCAATCTCGGTAGATCCCGAAGACCAAGCGCATTCTACCGTCATTATACGACTTTCATGATTCCCTCTTTTTAACTCGAGTTCCATCATAATAGACACAATTATAGAACAATAGGTTGCGGTCACCAGTGACCGCTTGGTGTTTGACAGTTCCTTTGTACATTAATGTAAGAAAACAAACGTAATATTGGTTGCGTGATATTTATTGAATAATAATAATCGGTGAAATTATTGAACTCAATACATGATAATATAGTACAGTTTTAATAATAAAAACATTTTGCACCACATAATGAATTGACAACATTTCGTAGGATAGGACCTCGAGCCTCGTAAATGCTGTCAATTGCCACAAAAACCTAATCGAGTGCTTGTTGTCTACACATAAAGTACAAATCAGTTTGTCGCTAGTTCATACATAAATCGAAAAGAAATAAACGCTTTTGTTTCAAATTTTAAAGATACGATGATCATCATCATCGTCATCATCATCGTCGTCGTCATCATCGTCGTCTCCATCATCATTTCGTTCGTCAAAGTTGAGAATGACTTTGGCGCAACCGATTCTGATATCTTGGAACACGCAGTATGCGTTAGCCTCATATGTTCCGTAGACACCCATCCTTGGAAGCTCCGTATAGTCAAATATGTAGTTCTTGATGGAGAGTAAACCCTGAAAATGTAGAAGTTAAGTAAGTCAAGCATATTTTTTTTGTTTTGACGGGTATATGTCATCCAATGACTTTTCCTGCCTTTTTTTTTAAGGGAGGAATATCATCGAATGACTGCTCCCGCCTGGGTGAGGCGGGAGGGAGTGTCAGACTCTTACTGACTAAAAACCACCCTGTTCCTTCTCCTGCACGTCGAGCCGGAGCCCCGGTTACCCGTTAGGTTCTCCGCGACACTTCTCCTGCCTAGTGTTGGGCTGGGAGTGTCAGACTCTTATGCCCGGGCCACTCCAACGAGAAATGCTATTGCGTATCGCGATAATGCACGTTCACCGTAGGTGTAGCCACGAGTCAACGCGATAATTTGTCAACGGCATTCACATTGCCGTTTGGCATGATGGGCATTCACGATGAAATTTCAAGTGTAGCCACCCACTTTATCGCGTTAAAATTATCGCAATAATTATCGTAGTAAACATCGCGATAATCGGCATTGACGTTGACGATAGTGTGTCCCGAGCATTACTGACTAGAAACTACCCCGTTCTTACTTCTGCTCTTCGAGCCAGATTGAGCAGTTGGCGCGGTGGCTGAGGAACTGGTTACGTGTAGCGGGTTAAATTACCGCACGAAGCAACTCTTTGTGAGATCCACAAATTGTTGTTTCGGGTCTGGGTATCATGTGTACGTGAAAGTGTGTGTTTGTAATCGCACCCACGACATAGGACAAAATCCTAGAGTGGGACGGGTTTATATAAAAAAATATGTATCCCTATATTTGCTATGAAGGTGGAAACCACTGACTATGAATGTCATCAATATTATCACCATACCCAATGACTTCCAGACGGTTGGATGCAGCCTACATCCAGCCGCTCTAACTTCTAACTAGCAATCTTAATTAAGGTTGAGAGTGCAGCTTAGCGCTTAAATGAAATGTTTTTAAAAATCTTTAGAAAAACAACTTCAGAAAGTAATTTAATGTACTATGTGAGAACATATTAAATCCAATACCTGTTTGTTTTATTTTTTCTGTTTCCTATTTTATATTTTGTGTTCTATTTTTTTTTCAATTTTTATTTTTTATGTTCTATTTTTTTTCAATTTTTTATCTTTTGTGGTTTATTTTTTTTTTCAATTTTTATCTTTTGTGTTCAATTTTTTTTTCAATTTTTATCTTTTTTATTGTAATAAAATGATGACCTAAAGATACCGAGCTAAGCTCGGTTATCCAGATACTTCACATCGAAAATAAAGGTACCTCTCTTATAGGACAGTCAGGAGGATCGACATTCGCTAAAGTGAGTAGCTTCTTGACATTCTCCTCTGCCTGCCTCATCAGGAAAGCGCAGGCGCTGTCGTCAGATATAGTCTGGTAGTACTTGAAGCCACCGTCTACTTCTTGAAAAACGTCTATTACGAGCTGTAACATAAAAATGGCGCTTACTATTTTTGTAAAGACTTTGATTAATGATTGTCTTTTCGCATTTCATTCCAATTTTTCGCTAGATTTGTTATTTATAATGGATCCATTAGATTAGCGTGATAAAGCGTCAATTCACGACGACTTTCCACCGCCATAATCTGTCGTTGATGTAGACAATGGTAACCGCTTACTATGTCGACCGACCCGCACTTTACTGTTCCCAATAGTTAGTATAAACTTTTGCTCCTTCTTTATTTACAAGAAATGGGACTCACTTATGCCATGCGTCAAAAAAAATCCTAAAAATATAAATAAAATAAAAAAAATGCTACTAACACCATAACTATGATTGAAGACTCTATCCAAGTTTATGTCAAGGTCGAAACAATCATGTGTACGATTGATTTTCTTCCGACTGATGTCGAACAATACGTCGTACTGTTCTGGATTGTCGCAGGGCATAATGTTCAGGACTAGCCATCGTCCTGGACCCTGGAATATTAAAAAAATATTAGCACCAAGGATTCTACGTGACTTGTGAAGTTTGGACATAAAAGAGACATATCACAAGGTCATAAGATTTTTTGTAAATACGTTGCCCCACACTAGGATTTTCTCCTGTGTCGTGGGTGCGTTTACAAATATTCAAGTTCACATACACAATGACACCCAGACTCGGGACAACAAACTGTAGATCACACAAAGAATTGTTCCATGTGGTTTATGAACAATGTATGACTGTGCATTCCTAAATAATACCTCCTCTACATAAGAGGTTTTGCAGTAATATACTCGCTTGACAGGCAGGTTGGATATCGTAATTTAAAAGGGTTCAAGTTTATTAGAGAGTGCTACTATTCTTGATAAATGTGTAGTCCCTTAGACAGCTCTTAAATAAAAGAGCTCTTTCAGAGGAGGGTATTAGAAAGAATATGAAAAATTAAGTGTAAAAACAATATATCATTCTATCTTACTCCTTCTATAACTCTATATATAGTACTAGCTACTTTTGCGCGGTTTCACTCGCTCTGCTCGGAGCCTATTAATCGTAGCGTGATATTTTATAGCCTATAGTCTTCCTCGATAAATGGACTGTCCAACACACCAAAATTTCTTAATTCGGACCAGTAGTTTCGGAGATTAGCGCGTTCAAACAAACTAACAATAAAACAAACTCTTCAGCTTTATAATATTAGTATAGATTACTCCTTCTATAACTCTATATTATTTAGTATAAAATTTTTTTGTGGTATTTGTTATTATTAGGACAAGGTTCTTAAGTAAGAAGAAAATAGATATTTCTTGATTACAGGGCGGTACGAAGTTCGCCGAGTCGGCTAGTAATATTATAAATATGAAAGTTTGTAAATTTGTGCGCATGTTTTTTTACTCAAACACGTCAAAACTGTTGAAGGGATCGACATGAAATTTGGAACATAACATAACATCACACCACACCTTTTATCCCCGAAGCGGTAGGCAGATTATACCACTGCTCAATGTAACACTCACTTTTCACTATTAAGATTATGAGTCCCATGTAATAGGGATAGATACTTTTTATCCAACGGCAACACGAGCGAAGTAGCAGGCAGAGCAAAGTACTAAATATGTTTAAAAAAACTTACAAGCATAAGACCAGGTAAGATACTAATCACGAATGGCACACACACTGTTAGAACTAATATGAACTTGAACATTATCATCGCCTGTAACTCCCCAGTGAAGTATTTGCTCGCCTTTAAATACATTTATACAGCAACCCTTTACATGTTCCATGCATATTTTGATGGGTATCTCTAACTGAATTAATAACATTAGTCGACGTTTAACCTTTGATTACACAGTACGATTGATGTTTTGTTCTGTTCACGCTATTGATAAATTAAATTATTTATAAATTATACTTTTGATCCATTCGTTGGACTAGTAGCTAACTTGCCAGTGCTTCCTAGAGTGTTTAGCAGGTCGGTGCAAGTAATTTATTTTAGGTATTATTTTCTCAAAATCGTTTTGCAATGTTTTTCATATAGATTTTAAACTTGTGTCTAAGTTTTGGGAATATACAAATGTACAATTTTTTCTCTCCTCTGGTGTTGCGGGTGTCCATGGGCGGCGCTTATCGCTTACCATCAGGTGATCCGTCTGCTCGTTTGCCTCCTATTCCATAAAAACGTCGCGGAGAACCTAACGGGTAACCGGGGCTCCGGCTCGACGTGCAGGAGTAGGACTGGGGTGGTTTTTAGTCAGCAAGAGTCTCCATCCCGCCTCACCCAGGCGGGAGCATCTATTGGACGATTTCCCCCTTAAAAAAATCCATAAAAAATACATTGGTTTTATAGGGGTGTAAATATTCTTAAAGGTGTTGTTTGTTGAGTAATCTCTTAATCAGTCAATCCGAACTGAACTCGAACGCTTTCTCGCCCATCATTAGTTAAGATTATTCTTACAACCATACCATAGCGGATCGCGATCGTGTTCACTTCGATCTTGTGAATTAAAGTTACAAAATAGCCTACCACAGAGATGGCGAACCTTTACGTATCAACGTATTTATTTCCGAACCGATTCGACCTTCAAACCTTCAAGAAAAGGGTGTTTTCCTTTTTAAAAGTGAGTGTGTCTCCTCTGGTGTTACATGTAAGCAGCAGGCTCGTTTGCCTTCTATTCCATAAAAACGCACCGCATTTCTAAAGAAAAAAAAGTTTTTGCCACGAGACACGAGAGCTATCAATATTATTATTTTTTTTTTTTGGTAGTTCGTTACTACCGTACTACTACGAATAGCTAGGCCCTAGCAGATGGAAGTCCCTGCTAGGGCCCTAATGAAAGATCAGCTTACAGTGTACGGACATCCGCACACCACATCTCTACTATCAGGCAAATAATTTAATATCCAGGTAAGGAAATAAAGATTGATTTAATACAGAAACAGTTGTATATTTTGTAACAATGTTATATCTTCTGTAACCATTAGTTGGTTCAGTAGGTATTTCAAAATTCATATTTATTTTTCCATCTAATTACCGATATGATTGTGCCTATTAAAGGGTTGTGTAGGGTTCTCCCATTTCAGGGCCTTTACAGTCATATTCAAGCATGATAGGCGGTTAGTGGCTCGCAGTGTGTTCACTGATTAGACATTAAAGGCTGCTGCTGTTCGCCTGTCCCTCGACGAGCATAATTTTTTATCATCATTCATCAGATCATTTTAATAATTCTATAAATGTTTCACACACATTTAAGCTTTCAAATCGGATCGAACTTGAGACCTTGTATTGTGATTCACATTTTTACATACCTACCTGATGTAAAAATATTTTTTTTTTTCTTTTAAATTCATGGTGTAGGTAAAAAAATCCTCATTAACTATTTAATTTTTATATTGATCCAATTATTAAATACAGTTTTATTGATCATACAGTATTTATTTCCATTTTTACTTGTACTTGTAATTTGTCTACTCATTAATGTTTATTACAAACATATTTTTTATAATTCTGTATTTATTTAATTACGTACATTCTCCGAAAATTAATTTTCAAACAATTTTATGTACAGCAAAACCGAAAATTTTGTCAAGCCTATAATAATTACGATTAAAAATATACAGCTAATATTGTCTATTCATCCTCATCTTCTTCTATTTTCATAAACTCAACGTGGACCTCCACGCAGCCGACTTCTTCGGATCCCTTCAGCACGAAGGCCTTGGCACAGAAGTAGCCGTACCAACTGTCGCTTGGAAGCTCCGAGTAGTCGAATACGTAGTCCTTTATCTCGTAATCATTCTGTTTAATAAAAATAACACATTATCACCATTGGCCGGAGTGATACCACGGCCTTACAGAAAACCGACGTGAAACAACGCTCGCGTTGTGTTTTGTCGCGTTACTGAGTTTACCAAAGGCACAATTACCTCTCTCCCCATCTCCATAATCTCCCAATAACCAACAATACTCAAATTCCTGATCCCTAAAATGTCGGTGACGCACTTTAACCCTTCTGGCCCTTCAGGAGTCCATGGGTGGCGCCGATTGCTTACCATCAGTTGACCCATCTGATCGTTTACCGACTTATCCCGTAACAAAAACAAAATCTATCAGCCTAGGTGAGATTCACTTAATTCTAATCAATATAAACGACATCTTACCGATTGTATTGGAAACTCGGGAGGATAGACACCAGCGAACGTTAAGGCGACCTTAGCGTTTTCCTCGGCGTATTTGTTGACGAAGTTGATGAAGCAATCGTCTGACAACACCTGGTACTGCTTACACCCGCCGTCTACGTGCTTGCATATATCTACACGGATCTGGATAGGAAATGAAATGAAAATGATCTGGATAGGAAATGAATGAAATGAATCCTTACTAATATAATATTATAAATCGGAAAGTGAATTTGTTTGTTTGTTCCGCTCTCACGCCATAACTACTAAACCGATTTGCTTTAAATTTTTGCAGATGTATAGTTAGAAGTCCGGATTAAATAATAGGGTACTTTTATCCCGGAAAAATTTGATATTCTTGAGGGAAAACAAAAGTATTGGTATAGATGGCGCTGTATGTATTGGTAAAAGTCACATTGGCTTTTTATCCTTTTGTGACGCGAGCGAAGCCGCGGGTAAAAGCTAGTATTTTATAAATATCCTACCAACAGGTCACCTGATGGTAACCTGTTGGCAATAATGAAATGTAAAAAGCAGAGCGCATATTCATTGATTGACTGCTTTATTACTTTTTTTTTTTAAAAAAAAACGTTGGGTGCGTTTACAAACATACAAGTTCACATACACAATGACACCCAGACCCGAAACAACAATTTGTGGATCACACAAAGTGTTGTCTCGTGCGGGAATCGAACCCGCGACACGATGCACGGCAGCCAGTTGCTCAGCCACCGCACTAACTGTGCAGTCAACTTTTGATCTATGTTTCTAACATCGTTTTACCTTTTTTTAAATTTAAAACTGTAAAAGCACTTTTCTGAAAAGAACATCACGATCGGTTCAGCCAATAGCCAGCAGGATAATCGCGCACATACATACAGGTCACACTGAGAAACCTCCATCTTTCTTTGAAGTCGGATACAAAGAAATAATTGAACCTACCCCAAAAGTATCGTCGAAAGTCTCATCTAGTTTAAGGTCCCCATAGAATCCGTCGTGGGTTCTATTGATTTTCTTCTGTTTTATGTCGAATATGAACTTATGGTGGTGTTGGTCGCATTTCTCTATGAATTGGACCTTCCAAACTCCAGGACCCTGGAAAAAATAAATAAAATATTGTGGTATGGGTTTAATTTACTTCTGTCTAATCTCTAAACACTTTCGGTTACAAAGAGGTCATCTATTCTTACAAATCTTAACGTAAATAAACGTTGAAAGAAAAGAAATTCCATTAGTGATCAATAGACGATAAAGGGGAATATTATAATATCTCCTTTATTCTTTATGTGATTTATTACCAAATCCCTAATTACTTACGAATCTTAGGTTTAGGACTTTATAACTTTTATGGAAGTATTTAACTTCTAATGTAAACGAAAATGATTAAAATATTTAAGTAGAACAATCCAAGATTTCATAGACTCTTGTACACCTTTTAGGTATGTTTCTATGCTAGTATTATTATAGAGGTAATATCTATTGACAACATGTAACAAACAATAAATGAGTTTGAATTTGAATAATCTTCCCACATTTTCTGCCATTACTGTCAAAGGCATGTTTTTGATCAAATTAAAACAATCAAAACAATAACATCTTACAAAATCATCGTCAGCCGCAACTTGCAACAGGACACAGGCCACCCCGAGTAACATACACGTCTTCAACATGATGTCTACACAATATCATACCCACATCACATTACCCCCAATTTATATGTTAAAATGTAAACATATCGTGATGACCAGCCATAATGATGGTATCTGATAGCGTGATGATCATGTGTGTGTTAATGATACAAATCAATGCTTGTGTTATGTGCTCTCGACATTGTTATAATGTAACCTTCTCTAGTTATTGAAATCATGTCATTGTAATTACTATGTATTGAAGTGTTTTTGTAATGATATAGGGAAATGAAATGGGTATTTAGCTTGTTGTTACCGTTGGTTCTTTAATGTGTATTTAATATAAGGGGTCGGCTCGACCGGAGTGATACCACGGCCTTACAAAAAACTGACGTGAAACAACGCTTGCGTTGTGTTTCGTCGTGTGAGTGAGGTTACTAGAGGCCCAATCACCCCCACCCTTCCCCAATCCCTGGATCCCCAACAATCCTTAAATTCCTAATCCCAAAAAGCCGGTGACGCACTTGTTACACCTCTGGTGTTCCAGGTGTCCATGGGCGACGCCGATTGCTTACCATCAAGTGATCCGTCTGCTCGCTTACCGGCTAAGCCCATAAAAAAATAGTCATGCCTATTTGTCCCTTCGGAGGTATATTCCGTGCATAAATTTAATCTAGTATTTTAAGTTTCCGTCAGCTATTGGTCTCTCGTGATAGTAGGTGAACCTTGAGACATACCTACTGTAGACGCAATTGGGTAGTTGACAGGGTATGAAAATTAAAATACACGACGCAAACATTTTATTTTGTCACACAAGAAAACGATTTAAGTTTATAGTTTACTCATAGATATTAAACGGATTTAAGTTTAGGGAATAGAAGGTCGCTACATAACACGTTCCTATAAAACGTAGCTACGAATAGAATTTAATTTTGTTAGAAAAATACATATCTAATGTTTTAACATAGTCTACCAGACGGATATTAAAAAAAAATCAGAAAATTATCCAACTCAGACATCAAATCGCATTTCAAAAGCTGTTAATAGTAATTCTACATGTAGAAAGACTTATCTACTTTGAACCTTGCATCGCATTCCAAATCTAACAGGAGTCACAAAATCCACTTGTAACAGAAGAAAGAAAACCTTTCAATATAGTCTTGTCATAAAATGTATGGGTGTCCCATTTAAAGTATGTTAAATATGATCTTTTCTTTGTCTAACTCTATTCTCTTTTTTACAGGCTAATGAACTGCGCGCTGCAGTCGGCGACGGCGCTGGACGAGCATACCATCGCGGCGGCCATGTTGCCTCTCGCCACAGCGTACTGCAGGAAGCTCTGCACCGGAGTCATACAATACGCTTACATGTGCATACAGGTAAATATATACAACTAAAATAAGGATTTATTTTTTAAACTGTCAAACACCAAGCAGTCACCGGTGACCGCAACCTATTGTTCTATAATTGTGTCTATAATGACGGTACTCAACGAGTTAAGGGGGAAAAATCATCGAACGACTTCTCCCGTCTGGGTGAGACGGGAAGGAGTGTCAGACTCTAATTGACTAAAAACCACCCCGTTCCTTAATTTAGCTCTTCGAGCTGGACCCCCGGCAACCCGTTAAATCCTCCGCGGCACTAAAATAAGAATAAGGAATAAATGTAAATATCACGTACATATTTTAATTAAAAATAATGTTTTACTCACGTAAATATACTGAGAAAAGCTCTATTAGTTTCGTGTCACAAAGGGACTCTTCCTCATGAGCAGCGTGCGTGGTCGCGATGACGTCACGCAGCCTACCAGAGCTTTTCTCAGTATATTTACTTGAGTAAACAGTTAATTTTAGTTAAATACAATATCTTTCACGGTAGTAACAATAAAAAGTACATATTTGGTTTCGCAATACTTGTTCTTCGTCCTAGTCGATTCTCACTGCTGAGGATCGACCTTTGATTTTGCTCACTAGATACTAGATGTCGCCACTTGTCTCGTTTCGTTGCTTGATGCATTGCAACATTCATGAGTATCTCCAGCTCCTTATAATATAAGAACATATTATGCTCCTAATAACATATTATGTTTGGTCACTTACAAACTCAAACTTACTATTTGCAAAAAAAGGAACTAGGAAAAGCCTAGTAAATTCATTAATTGACGATATTACAATTTTATTAATTTTACTTAACCAACACCGTAAATTAATGTTTTTTTATATATTTTCAATTCTATGAAAAGTTGTTTTTAAACAGGAACATCAAGTATGGACAAGCCAGCAGTTCTGGGAGGCGGCGTTCTACCAGGACGTGCAGAGGGACATCAAGGCTTTATATCTACCTAATCCCACACACCATCAGCGAGTGCCCAGCCCTAGGTATGTAACCATGGAATATGTCGTCAAACGAGCAGACGGGTCATCTGATGGTAAGCAATCAGCGCTGTCCATGGACAGGAACACCAATAACACTAGAGGAGTTAAAACTGCTTGATGCTGTCCTTTTAGAAATTGGAGATTTGTAGTCATCGCAGTCACGTTACAACTTTGACATTGTTTTATTTTGGTATCAAAGTAAAGTAAAGTAAGTAAGTAAGTAAAGTAGTATCGTCGTTTTACATTTATCGAGCCGGATCCAATCAATCAACCAATCAGAACGTCGATCGCGGTCTCATTTTGATTACTTTAAACGTAAATCACACTCGTACTAGGCCCTCAAAATGAATTCCTGATGTTCTCATACGCTCAAATACTAAAAGGCTACTCAATATTAAATCGCGCTTAAATATAGTTCTCTCACTACAAATTCTTTGTAAAATGACAGAGATGGCACGATATTTAAGTACTACTTAAAATTGGACTACCTCGTTGGCCGAGTGGTCGCAAGTGCGACTGCCGGGCAAGGGGTCTCGGGTTCGAATCCCGGGTCGGGCAAAGTATTACTGGGTTTTTAAAAAATTCTCAGTAGTAGCACGGAATCTGGAATTGTGCACGGTATACGGCAATAGGCTCACCCCCTATTGGGACTCATAACATAATTAGTGAAAAGTGGGTGTTACATTGTAGAGGTACCACTATGTACGGCCGGGCATAGGTATGCCTACTCCTTCGGGGATAAAAGACGTGATGTTATGTTATGTTTCAGATTGGTGACAGAAAAAATGATGTAAATTGATTATCTTGATTTCAGTCTTGACTCATATTCCAGAGACGACGAGGAATACATATCCCTATTAAAAGCTCAGGAGCCGAGTGCGTTGGAGATTGCAGCCGAACAAATGAGGCTGTGGCCCAGTTTAGCACCAGGTATTGGAATTTGATATATTTTTATAATCTGTGTAAATTCAACATTTTTTTTAAAGAACTACCCCATATTCTTCTGAATCAGTTCACACACCCCACTATACTGTGTTGCAGTTGCTTTTACACATATATAAATTGATATACACAACACACCCAGACCCTGAACAACAATTTGTTGTTCCTGTCCTGTCCTGTTATGCACCCATGACTCAGGAGAAGACCTCAATATAGTGCCACGTCTATTTTTAAAAGGCATATTTTGTAAATAGCATTATTATTATTATTTATTCACAGAAAAACAACGAGAATTAATAGCAAGCGAAGAGTCGACGTTGTACAGTCAGGCGATACACTACGCGAACAGAATGGTGTACTTATTACTGCCCCTAGAGGGCGCCGGCAGACGCGCTGACGTCAGGGGAGACGACGCCGACAGGGCTAGCAATAGTATTACTAATAGGTAAAATTTTTACTTTTATCGTTTAATCATGTCAATGTCAAGTCTAAAGCTTTTATTTCAACTAGACAAGCTTATATTAAAACTTTAATTAGACACACTAAATGAATTATCATGTTTTCGGCTTACTCACGTAATTGTTTGACGAACTCGACTAGTTTCAAGCCATTCTGGAAGCTCATATTTATGAGCAGCAGCGCGACAGGTGCCGTGCCGCGGGTCGTAGAATGTTGTCGAAAACATAGTAATGTTTAGACAAGCACTATTAAAACGTTAACCTAGAATAACCGTCAGTTTGTCCGTCAGTTTAGTTAGATGCTTGTGCCAAAGTGTAGGTGGTGGAATAACAAGCAGAAAACTACAAGTCTGCATTGTTTATAATTACTAATCTTTACGCAAGTACTAGCTATTGATTGACAAAAACCATTCACGATTATGTAATAATAAAATACAATATTACTTGAAGATAAAATTGTGTGTTAACAGTGTCGCTGAATCGGACAGCGTGGATGCGGAGTCCGGGTTCGAGGAAGCAGACCCGGGCGAGGCTGGCAATAATGTTATCAAAATGGTCTCCCGATTTGTTGATAAGGTACGTTAGAAGTCGTAGACATGAAATATGTTGTAATTATTGGGATAACTCTGAAAACTTAAAATTATTTTTTTAAAATACTATAAGTCCCAAAATCTTGTAAACAAGTTTGTCAGTTTAGTTTTATCTAATAACTGTCATGGAACTTGTAAAATTAACGGTTTAGCACTTCATATTTCGAGAATGTCTGACAATTTTTGAGCCGTACTGGGGCCCTTAATTGGCTAGTTTCCTAGGTTTAAAATAAATTGTTTCAACTTTTTAATGCAATAAATAATTTAAAAATAATCATACTCTCATCCATTGATTTGACAATTTACCAACTTTTGGATTTTTTTCTTGCTAATTATAAGGAAATAAGTATGCTATTGGACGCAGAAATATGATGACGTCATAAGATGCGATCCAATACAAAATTCATAGAAAAGAATAGTTTTTGACATTTCAATAAAAGGATTGAATTTGACTACCATATTATTATTTGTCAGGTGTGTACGGAGGGCGGTGTGACAGCAGAGCACGTTCGCTGCTTACACCAGATGATACCAGGAGTCGTGCATATGCATCTAGAGACGTTAGATGCAGTTGCTAGAGAAAGTAGAAGATTACCACCCGTCCAAAAGGTAAAGTGGACCTTATTACAGTAGTTTAAGGTTTATTTTTTCTGGATTTTGGCGCCACTAGCAAGTCTTGTCAATCAAATTAATATCACTGCTATTTAAAAATTGAACTTTAGTCAGTTTTGCTTTTGACCCAATTTGATAGTAAGAAAAATTATAAACACTGTTCAAACATCTCTGCTTTTATATTAAACTAGCGACCCGCCCCGGCTTTGCACGGGTGCAATACGCATATATTATACATATAAACCTTTCTTACGAATCACTCTATCTATTAAAAAAACCGCATCAAAATCCGTTGCATAGTTTTAAAGATCTAAGCGTACATAGGGACAGAGAGACGGCGGGTAGCGACTTTGTTTTATACTATGTAGTGATTACTTTACATTGCGCAACCTGTTATTTATTGAATAATGCATGCAATGTTGATAAACCTCTTGAGATTATGGCAAGCTCCTATTATGTAGAGGAGGCACAAAGGCCACTAAGAGACTGTTGATGCCAATGTTGACATATATTTTTTGCAGCCTAGAATAGTGGCCCCAGCGCTAGTCCCTGGTGAGACAGTAACAGTTCCGGCGTTACGCGCCTACTTAGTCAGTGATGGTCGAAACACTGCGCTACTGCCGGCAGAGGGCGCTCTATTCCTCACTAACTATAGACTCATATTTAAAGGCACACCTACTGATCCTTATGGTAAGTTTTTTTTAATATTTTTTCATATGAAATTATTAAATAACTTTTAAAAATTAAATGACAATTGGTTTTAAACTCACTGTAAATAATTCAGTATAGTCAACTAAGAATATTTAAATTTGTAATAAAAATTTACTGTTATTGCGCAAAAAGTTTAAAATAATGCGCAAATATGAAAATCGTTGCGCAAAAACCTAACAACAGTATCTGTTGCGCTTAAAAATAAAAGTTATAATGTTTAACTTTATTAATTTGTTCTTTTTAAATAAAAAATGTAATTCTTGCAGCTTGCGAGCAGACGGTGGTGAGATCGTTCCCTGTATGTTCGTTGACGCGAGAGAAACAAGTTCGAACCCACTATCTGCCTCACTTGGAACAGTCGCTACAAGAGGGCCTGCAACTTAGATCGGCAACATTCCAATTGATCAAGGTGAAATATTCATTAAATTATACTTTTTAATATACTTAGTAATTGTGTATTATTTACGTAGAGAGGAGTAGAAGGAGGGCAGGGAGGCTTTTGTCCTATAGTAGGACGATCACAGCTGAAAATATATAAATAGTAATTGCTTGAGATTGTTTTTATGTTGGTATATAAATGCTTGAAATTGCAGACATTTATTTTATGTAACTTTTAAAAGTGTAGTTTTGAGTTACCGAAACAATTGTATGAATAAGTTTTTTATTTGTTTCATTTTTGAAATCATGCTCGCATTTTTTTATGCTCTCATTCTTCACTGTGGGATTTCTTATGTTATGGGTTATAAATGGAATTAATTTTTTGCAATAAGAAACTTTTTTGATTGTAGTGTAGTTGGAGTAAAATAAACATAACATAATATCACACCTTTTATCTCCGAAAGGGTAGGCAGAGGTGCACGTTATGCCACTACAATGTAACACCCACTTTTCACTATGTATGTTATGAGTCCCATGTGAGAGTCTATTGCCATATACCGGGTACAATTTCAGACTCCGTGCTGACTGAGATTTTTTTAAAAACCCAGTAATACTTTGCCCGACCCGGGAATGGAACCCGAGACCCCTTAGCCAGCAGTCGCACTTGCGACCACTCGGCCAGCAAGGCAGTGAAATAAATGTTGAGTGAATGTTGTGTACGTGGGTACAGGTGGCCCTGGACGAGGAGGTGAGCAGCGAGGCGGTGGAGTCGTTCCGCAAGCAAGTGGCGCGCCTGCGGCACCCCGACCACGTCCTGCTACACTTCGCGCTCGCGCCGCGCTCCGCGCCCCCCGCGCCCCACGCCATGCCCAAGCATCACACGCTCAAGTACCACTCCTTCGCCATTCATTATTCTACGGGGACTAATATCAGACAGATTACCTGATGGTAGGCAATCGGCGCCACCCGTGGACATCCGCAACACCAAAAGTGCGTTGCCCTGGTTTTAAGAAGGATTACACTCTTTTCTTGAGGGTAAATAAACTAGAACTTTAATCTCCAATTGCTGCAAAAGCTGGTGCCCAACGCACCATGTGTTCGATTCTCGCACAGTACATTTTTTTGTGTAATTCAAAAATTGTATTTAAAACTATGGGTATTAAATATATGTGTAACGACGGAAGTTAATGTTAATGGAGTTAATATTTCATTTTTATTTCTGAACTAGCTGACTCGCCAAACTACTTACCGCTTTAAATTCTTTTTCTACAGAGGTTTTGCAAAGAAGACCCTGCTGAAGACAGCGCGGCGCGCCGGTCTGAAGCCGAAGCCGTCGAAGCGCCAGAAGTACGTGCTGCCGTCGGCGGACGCGCGCTCGCTGACGTCACCGCCGCTCATGTCGTCGCTGTCCGCCGACACGCTCTCCTGTGAGTCTCTGTATTTTTAGTTGCACATTTTGCACGATTTGGTTTTTTTGGGTGTTGGCTTTTGTTGATTGATTGTGATATTTTTGGTTGAAAGTTCCGATCTAAGTCAATCTTATTTACTTTTTTGCGAGACCTATGTTTAGTAGATGTCGTGTGGCTGATATGATGATGAAGGCATAAAATGTAATTTTGTTTGTATTTATAGTGTATATTTAACGCATTAAGTTTATTTGTGCATGTGTTTATTATCATTTTAATCGGTTGGAAAATGTCATCTGGCCAAAGGCTTCCTTCTCAGTCGTCGAAGTCAAAGTACGTGTGTCAGTATTTACAAATGGCGCCCCGTCCGCAGTGGAGGAGCTGGAGCTGGGCGCGTGCGAGGGCGCGGAGAGGCCGGCGGCGGCGCGCACGCTGGAGCGGCTGCGCGAGCGGCGGTACGCGCGCGACTGGGCGCGCCTCGGACTCGCACACGCGCCCTTCCGACTCGCGCACGCCAACGCCGTCTACACGCTGTGCAGGAGGCTAGTACTCGTTGTACTTTACTTGCTTTGTAATAGCACAACTAACCTGGACTTATCATTTCTAATTTTAAGTTTGAAATCGCCAACCCGCTTGGAGCGAGCGTGGTCATTAATGCTCTCAGTGCGAAAACAGGCTTTGCTCAGCATTGGCCACTTATAGGCTGTTGATGATGAATGGGACAAGCTCTCCACAACTTCCTAAAACCGCTGCAACTCCTGTAAGCCAGGATCTACAGTGGATACAATCATGAAAACACCCGAACACTGAAGTCCGGCGCGTCCCAGGGACATGAATATCAACGAATTAATTCAGTAAAAGAGTAGAAGTATCTAATTCCCTCGGTGAATTACTGCGGGAGTCAGAATATGCCTTGCTTACTACACACTAAATTTTGAAACATTTTATATGAGAATATTTAAAAATACTATCTCTAATGAGCAAATCTACTGTAAAATTTTAGTTATTTTACTCTTTGACGACTGGACCATAGAAATTGTGCCATTAATGTAACTAGCACATCTATGAAGTAGTAAGAAATATTATTCTTAATATTATATTGTGTAAAAAAATTTTTTTTTATTTTAGTAGACAATATTCAATACGGTATTTGCCAACTAGTCATAATTAAAACTTGTCAAAAACAATAGTAAAGTTATAATGTCACGTTATTTTAGCGTTATACAACGTACTTATTTCTTAAATATTTGCTGGAAAAAAACTAAAATTAAGTTGGTCATAATTTTTTTATATTTTATTGTATTGAGCAGTCGAAATAATTTATTTTTGATTTAAGAAAGTACTCAATTATAAGATGTTATACTTTAAGTTCAGTATATTATATACTACATAATGTATTAAATATATAAAAGCTGTACTTGAGATAATTTCTTAAACATTTGAGTAGTAATGAAAGTGTTTAGGCGCCATTAGAATAAAGTACGTATGGTACGCAGCTACCCGGCCGTGATCCCGGTGCCGGAGAGCTTCGGCGACGACTCCCTGCGGCGCGTGGCGCGCTGCTACCGCCAGGGCCGCCTGCCCGTACTCACCTGGAGACATCCGCGGACACACGCCCTGCTCGCCAGGTACCGCACTGACACACCTACAATCTGCTAGATATTATAAACTTCTCTTTTATAAAATACGAGCGACCCGCCCCGGCTTCGCACGGGTGCAATACTTATGTAAAAATACCTACTACAAAATGTCCTTATACACCACGTTCACAGCTATTTTGTCATTAGACAATACAAACATGTTTTATATTGATATTTTTCTCGCTAGAGAGCTCCGATAAACGCGTGCGATCGTTGCAAGTCATGAAGTGCTTTAGGACGAAACGCGGCCATCAACGCCGCAACAAATACATTCCTGCATTTTATATTTGTAATATCTTCGGAAATATTCACTTAAATTACATTTTAAGGTGGTCAATACTGTAGTACATTATTTTGGTCTATCTCGTAAGTTACAGCCAGCGTTTGCAATATAAGCGCAAAAAAGTGTGCTGATTTACGACATCACATTAGAAATCTCTAAATTTATCAGTGTTTCTCTACTATATTATGTATATATTATACATATAAACCTTCCTTAAGAATCACTCTATCTATTAAGAAAACCGCATACAAAGGGACATATGGACAGAGAAAGCGACTTTGTTTTATACTGTGTAGTGATAAAATGTAAAAAATTCCGATTCAGAAATTCTAAAGTATGAGTTAGTTTTATCGTGATTGAAACGTTGATTGATCGGTGCTTTGATTGGCCTACTCCAGTGGACCAAACAATCAGAGGACTAAAAGCTGTAAAGTTCCGATTACGTCAAAAAATCGTACTAGACCCTCTGTGCGTACGGAGTTTATGTTCAGTGAATCCTAAACGCCATTACTCATACGTTTTTATATAAAATCATAAATAAAATGTCGACATTTTCTCCCAGATCTGCAGCCCCACATCATAAAGGAGTTATGGGAATGTTGAAGGCAAGTCACCAAACTCAGGGCAACACACAGAGTGGGACGGAAACTACATCCAGTTTAGAACAGGTAAATTACACGTTGCAAGTAATTCTATCATTTTAGTTGTTAAAGATGATATTGCATTGAGTACTAATTATGTGTCAAGTAGACAATCCAGGACCTTAATTAAAAATCGCGGGTTACTCACGTGAATATACTGAGAAAAACTCTACTAGTTACGAACCACAGACACTGCACGACATCGCCGCGACCGCGCACCCTGGTCATGAGGAAGAACCCCTCTGTGGTTCGAAACTAGTAGAGCTTTTCTTAGTATATTCACGTGAGTAACCCGCGATTTTCAGTTAATTTAGTATGTCTCACAATAGTTATTATAAAATCCAAGACCATACCTGTAGCTAACTGCGCCTATAAGCTGACGTTTTTGTATTCGCTAGGATGGCGTTAAAATCATGTTCGCCTAATCTCGAATAAAAAACTTTAAAGACCATTATTTGCTCATTAATGTTTTGGTCAAGAGACTTTGCGCTACAATATATCTTGAACTCCGGAGTCTAGAAGCAGAGGTTGACAGTAAGGTCATATACCGCGGCCCGGCTCAGCAGCAGGAGTAGGAACAAGGTGGATTTCATTTAGCAAGACTCTTACACTCCCGCATGCTTCATCTAAGGAGAAGCGACTTTCCAATCACATAAATACCTAATTAATTAAACCTAAAGTTTCGTTTGACTGCTGGGAAGCAGGTGGTACATTGTACAGTGGCATTAAGTGCCGTAATGTTCACCTCTGTCTACCCCTTCGGGGATAAAAGGCGTGATGTTATGTATGTTATTTTATTTTGTTTTCAGGAACGGTACCTAGCAACACTAGTTGCATGCACGCCGGCGTCGCGCGGTGACCTGGAGGACTCGAGTTTGAGTCTCGACTCGCTACTTCTGTGCTGTGAGGACCAACGTGAGGCCACACATACACCGCTACTGACTAAAGCTGCTGGGACACTGGGGTGAGTGCTTGTATAGAAATATATCGCTAATTTTTTATAATTTGATTACAACAATTATGTATTAAAATTCATAATAAATCCTACAGTTTTCATTTTACTAATAAAAACTATAGAATCCATTCACTATACTCTATTTCATTTGGAAAAGGTACTTTGGCTTGACCACAACTTGAGTTGTAGTGATAAACAAATCATGTAAAATACATACATGTGAACAAGCATGTTGAAAATAAGGCGGACATAGTCTCTTGAAACAACGACTGTGGCACCCAGCTACTATAGACTTACACGCAGAATATACACACTAGCTACTTCCGCGCGGTTTCACACGTTCTGCTCAGCTCCTATTGGCCGTAGCGTGATGTTTTATAGCCTATAGCCCTCCTCGATAAATGCGCTATCCAACACAAAAATAATTATTCAAATCAGACTTGTAGTTACGGAGATTAGCGCGTTCAAACAAACAAACAAAAAAAACAAACTCTTCCGCTTTATATAATAGTATAAGATAAGATTGGCACGGAGGACATCTGTTAGTGCAAGTAGATACACACATAAATACATCACTGACATTGTAGTGCTTTAATCACTTCTAAGTAACAACATCTGCCCTTTGTTCAACATCCTTGGACGTGGACTTTATCGCTTAGACAATTCAAACGATTTTTTAATGTTTTTTTTCGACAATAGGGTATTTTAGTCATTTTTAAAAAGTCTCTCAAATTGATTCTGTGGTGTTAGTGAAGTACTAAAAAAAATACAAAATTTTTATTCAATCGCTAACTACCCTAAAAATGCATTTAAAATTTACATTTTCAAATTTCCCACGCTTTGACGAAAGTAAAGGCCGCCATATTTTCTCTATGGTCGTGATCTCAGTTTGCTATGTAAACATTGAGCTGTTGTTGTTATTCTTCGTTAAATTGTTTTTTCTCTCAAATATGAGCTATTATTCGACTTATCGTTGGTGTGGTGTTCCGGAATGCAGGAATACTAGTGTTAAAACACCGAACAAATTGTGGATCCAAGTGCCAACCGACATAAATATGAGAAAAACTTGGTTCGAAGTTGCCGGAAGAGATCTCAGTCAATTACACAATAAATCCCGTATATACTATTGTGAAGATCACTTTGATGTAAGTATCTATATACATTATTCATCTAAAGTATCTTTCATTCACAATAACTTCCATTGCAATGAATTTATTGTGGTGTAAAAATCATATTTTAGAGGTTATAAAAATAAAACTTATGCTAATATTTCACTTACGACTTATATTTCAGTTGGAACACGACATGGAAAATTACCTGAAGTATAAATTAATGGGTTCAGTAAAAAGGATTCGATTGAAACCTGATTGCGTACCCTCCAGATTTCATTCAAGAAAACACAAGTCTGATCATACTTCAGACGATCTTGCATCAAAAAGGCTAAGAATTTCTGAAAATTCTCTCCAGGGTGCCCTACATATAGAAGAAGATATTGCCGAAACATCATCATTCTGTACTGAAGGTAATTTCACATCTCTCATCATCTTCCTACCATCATCATCTATCATCTTCCTACACTTAAAGATAAATGAAATTTAATAACAACAGACTTGTACCAAATCACTACAGCCCAAAGGCTACTTATCTTACCTTCTTCTAATATTTATCACCATAACTATGTCCATACTATACTACCAATACAAACTTATATAATAGTTATAAGCATTTTGATTGAGTAACATAGTTCTTTATTTATAATATAATAATACTATGTATTACATTTACAGATTCGCAGACATCAATGGAAAATAAATATGATAAAGCTGTTCAAGTAGCTCAAATACAGGAACATTCTTCAACACAAGTCATTCTAATCCAGAAACATAAAGCTATTCAAGCTCGTATAAAGACACAGTGCAAAAGTAAGCAGGTTCAAACTGGTGTGAAAACTAAAGATATTGTAACTTCGCCAATTAAGTTCATCACATCAACTGCTACTTCACCCTTAAAACCAAATCCAAATATAAAAAGTGCCACAAATCCATCTACATCAAATACCGTATCACGAAAACTACGTTTTATTGAAGAAAACTGTGATAGCGATACATCTTGTGCACCGTCTTTAGTAGGATCAACAGTTGATCAAGATTATTCTCCATCTGAGACAAGTGTTTCTAAGGCAACTTCAGATGCTAGCTTACAGGCTGAAAGGAAAAAGTTTGAAAAGATAAATCTGAAAAGTACTCTTTCCAAAATAATCAATAAGCCAAAACTATATATTGGTCTTTCTAAAAACCTATATTTCCTCATTGATTTAATAAAAAAGCACACAAACCTCACTGAGCAGAATATTTTATTATGTTTAATGAAAATCAAATTAAACAGAACATTTACACAATTAGGAGATGATTTTGATTTGTCCGTCACACAAGCCAGCAATATATTTTTCAATAGCATGCCTGAGATTGTAAAAGTTCTTTCACCATTTATAAAACATTTTTCAAAAGCAACAATAAAAAAAAATTTGCCTATAGCATTCAGACACAGATATAACCAGGTAACTTGTATAATAGATTGCTTGGAAATTGAAATCCAAAAACCTTCCAAAGCTGTCCATCAAGCATTAAGTTGGTCAGAATATAAAAAAACTAATACCATTAAATATTTAATCTCGTGTACACCTGATGGATTGGTTAACTTTGTCTCCAATGGATACGCAGGAAGAATCAGTGATGTTAACCTATTGGAGGATAGTAATTTTTTGGAATGCTTGCCAGCTGGTTCATACATTTTAGCAGATCGAGGATTTAAACATCTAGAATCATATTTGGCTCAAAAAGGATTTGTTCTGCTGAGACCACCAAGTGTTCCTGCTGGAACTAAACTATCCAAAGCAGAAGTGAAACAAACCAAGCAAATCGCAAGTCTTAGGATACATGTAGAGAGGGTAATTAGAAGGCTAAGAGAGTTCAGCATATTAAAAATGCATTCAGTAGTAAATTCAAATTTAGTTGGTTTATTGGACTTGTGCATTAAAACGGCATGTGCTCTTATAAATTTGCAAGATTCTTTGATTAAATAAATTGTACATAAAAATGCTATATTGTTTTACTAATTTACTCGTTATTTATGTATATATGTACCCAATCTTTGAAAATGTATGTCCTTATGGTTAAGCTAGAGAAAATTAACATTGATAATGTGGAATGCAACTCTGAAATGATTATAAACATCTCAGTGTTTTAGAAACCCTCAGATGTTTTTCTTATAGTTTATTATCGCCTATAAAATCTTAACAGTAATGTTTATGGTTCAAAAACTTATCAGGAATTTTCAGTTGAGGGTTTTGTCATGAAAGTTTCACTCTTGCATTTGAAATATGAAATGCCATAGCTTTCACACACTGCACTTATTGTAATGACAATGAAACTACTTAATAAATTAATAATAATTTTATTGCGTAATCATGACAGTTTTGTACAGAACTGGAAAAATATTACTTTTCCAAAACGAAACAACGCTGTCTAACAGAGTTATTACATATTGTTCATCATAATTAACCTTAACAAGTGTTACGTTTTTATTGTTTTCAAAATCACAACTTGCAACACAAAAGTAACATTCAGTTACTTGAGCACAATACATTTGTATTTGCACTTGGGCTCGATATTTTTCAGTTATTTCACCTTTTTTATTAATATAATTTTCACTAGTTTTATCGGTTGTGGGACACTTGATTTCAAAAGTGGTCCTTTCATTTATACCGTCTGGTGAGGCAGCTATCATCGGAAATTTTTCGGATATGTATAACCCACAAGTTTTTATTTTAATTCCTAACATCTGTTGTACAGTTTTCCGCACTTGGGCTTCTAATTTTCGGCCCCTAATTATAGCAGTTGTTTCTGGAGTCCTTGCTCCAAGAATTACTGAAACTAAAGCTCCATCGATAGTTTTGCAACGGCTAACTTCATAACACTTAGAAGCTGTGATTCGTCCATATCGCAGTTCGTGCCATAGGCCACTGTTGTGTTGTGATTGCGTGTCTCTTTCTGCAGTTTTTATATTATCCTTGTTGAAATGATGTGAGATTTTCTTCAAAAAAGTCTCACAATTTTCATCGCAGTGATTAATTATTAAACTGTGCATTGATAGAACTGTGCCAAGACCACCAGGATATTCAGTTTCATGTTTCAGAATTTGGCATGTGTTAATTTTTCTTTTTTTGCATTCTTCCACAAATTCGATCATTAATTGAGGTTCTTCTTCAAATTCTTTGGGTTTTCTTTTGGCCATGTCTCTCGCAGTCAATATCTTGATGGATGTTCCAACTTTACTGAGATTGGACTTCCTCCAGTAGCACTCTATCGACGTGCAGGGAGGCTCTTCGCTTCGTCGGTGCAGCCACATTAAAAATGCAACTGCATGTTTACAGCCACCTTCGGATGCAGGACAGTCGTGGCATTTCACACTTGTCACCACTTCCTCCTCTTCATTCACTACAAGTGTAGCTGCATAAGCTTTACATCGCACTCTGTGTTCTGGGCAAACGGTACATTTAACAATGCAAGTACTTTGCTCTCTCCTCAGTTGTACATAACCTATTGCATCGTCACCATAAGACTCTCTTCCAGATCTGAAAAAGAAATTATTTTTTAAAGACTATATAACGCAATGAAACGGATTATTGAAATAAATGTATGAGATTTATAGATGAATGAGATCATTACTTACATCAATGTCTTAACATTCCGTAGTTCAGCAGAACAAAAATCTGGATTGGCTGCAAAGAATTTACCGATCATCAAGGCGCTCACTCTCGGTAAATTTGTATTGTCTGCTTTTACGAATCCGCCTTCCATGATTATTAGAAGTTTGAAAAATAATAAAAGTCGTCAGCGTAGCACAGCATAGCTTGTCGTCAGGAGTGTAGTTAGATGTACTATACAAATACAAAAAACAAACAGCTGTTGTGGTTTGGCAATTTCACTATTTTTTTTTACCTTCTTTTTTAATTATGTTTATTTCTGAATATTTACAATAATAATATAGTATATTATTATGTACTTATAAGTATTTTTAGATGTACTATACATAAACTTTTAACATTATAGGTTGACAGCTGTCACTTTTGTTTACGTAGCCGAATGACGTAATAACAAGATGGCTGCTATTTCGTGGTAATATAGAACAGATAAAAAAACCTGAAAAGTTTGAATTGAATTTAAAAATTCCTTTTGTTATTTTATGAACTAAAACTACACTTACCGATTGCCTATTGCCTAAGCTATTTCAATAATATAGTTTTAGATTTTTTCTCGAATACAGTAAAATACCCTATTCAATGTAGAATTGTTTTTATAATAACTATCGTGAGACATACTGAATTAACTAAACATCGCGGGATACTTAGGCTGCGCGACGTCGCCGCGACCGCACACACTGCTCATGAGGAAGAACCCCTCTGTGGTTCGAAACTAGTAGAGCTTTTCTCAATATATTCACGTGAGTGCGATCGATTTTTAGTTAATTCAATGTAGAATTGTCAAAATCTTTACCTTTTCCAACTAAAGTCGAGTATAAATGCTCGCACAATGTATCAAATATGATTCAAACATATTGAATAAACAGCGTATTGGGTCGCAACAGCGGCGGCAAGGGCGGCGCGAGCTCGGCCCGACACTTCGGTCGCTGGGGGTCTCTCAAGGATAGGAGGCAGACCTCGCATCTAGACCTCTACGCGCCACGACAGAGACTCTCCACAGCTGATGCTGACTCTGGTCAGTATAAACTAAACAAATTTACACTTTAGATTTTCATTTTAATAAATTTTGTTTCAGTACCATTGTAATTTAAACGAGGTGCTTACAGTATTCGACAGAAGTTAAAAGCGGATTGATTTGTTGATTTAGTTTTATCATTTTTTCTTGTTGATTTGAATTCTATAAAATTAACAATTATTTATTATTATGTGCTTGAACTAAGATTTTTTTTTCTTTAAGATTTTGAACTAAGATGTTAGAATCAGTTTTCATTAATGTTTCTTAAATATTAAGCAACTCGTAAACTAAGAAAGGTGGTAATATTTTGGGTATTAATTACCTACTCGTAAATAACACCTAGTGGTAAATGTAATGGGTTAGGTTATCAAACCTATAAGTGGCACCTAATCGTACTGGTAATGGATTAGTTTAGCTCCTCATCATGTTAAATAGCTTTGAATTTAGAGATGGTTTAGGCGCAGTTGCTGAAAACATGTTTTCAGGCGCGCATACCATGTTGATGAGTATATCAATCTAATAATCTAATCAATAAAATATCAATGTCCCCAATTCCTGAATCTCCAACGATCCTCAAACTCGTAATTCCCAAAAGGCCGGTAACGCGCTTGTAACGCCTCTGGTGTTTCCGGTGTCCATGGGCGACGCCGATTGCATACCATCCTCATTTGCCGGCTTATGTCATAATAATAAATATTGTTTGTGGTGCAGTATGCGGCGAGGCGGCGGGCGCGCGTCGCGCGGCGCTGTACGTGGTGTGCGACAAGGGCGGCGCGGCGCCGGGCGCGGCGGGCGCCGAGCTGGTGCCGGCCGAGTACCCCGACGCGCGCGCCACCAAGCACGCCTTCAAGAAGCTCATGCGCGCCGCCGTGCCCTCCGCCTCGCCCGCGCCAGACCATCCCGGCTTCCTCAGGTATGTTCTTTATTCTTTGCTTACAAAGCTATAATCCTTCACTGACGTCGGTCGGTCAGGGGTGAACCTGGCCTTTCAAAAACAGCGTTAACATTAGATAGGTTTTCAAAACTCATGAGAATCACTGAACCGGTTACCTATACGCAGCACAACAATGTCTAAAACTATAAAAATATTCTTTAAGTCAAATTATATCTCTAAAGTTTTATAGAAGAAGTTTATATAATAATCATAATAAAAAATACATTAAAATACATTAAATTAAAAATACATTAATTATATGAGTAAAGCTCTATTAATTTTAAGTCACACCATAACTAGTAGAACTTTTATCGTTGAGTTTACTGTATTTTCAGATAATTTACTAAACACATTGAAAAATAAGACACCTATTTTTCCTGCTTCAGATTAATAGAAGAGTCCGGCTGGCTATGGCAGCTGAGACAGTTGTTCCAGCTGTCTGGAGCAGTAGTAGACCTGCTGGACCTGCAGGGATCCTCCGTGCTACTGTCGCTGGAGGACGGGTGGGATGCCACGGCACAGGTCAGTTGGGTTCATCACCAGGCCATTTCTGTCCATGACTAGACGTCAGCTAATGTGATATCGTTATTTAAGTAGGATTTACTATTTACACGACTAATACTACAATGGAGTAAAATCAGAAGAAAAAAATAAGTGTGCTATGGATATTTTATTTTTGTTTGTCTACCCCTTCAAAAAATAACATGTTTGTCTATAGATCGCATCTTTTCTTATTATGTTATTGATTTGTAAGTTAAAAATTTACGCATGGAATGTATTAAATCAAAATAGCAATATAAGTAAAAATGCTCTCTATTTCATTGTTTCTGTACAGTTTTAAAACGGACATAAATATTCTGCTCCAGATATCATCTCTAGCCCAGATCTGCCTGGAACCGTACTACCGTACACTGGAGGGCTTCCGTATCCTGGTGGAGAAGGAGTGGCTGGCGCTGGGACATAAGTTCCAGCAGAGGTCCAACATTGGGGCCACGCCACAACAGGGGTTCACGCCTACATTCCTCATGTTCTTGGATGCTGTGCATCAGGTACTAACTGGGATGACAGATTTAAATTGTGACTTATTGTCAGTGACATTAAGTTCATTCTCGCTCTACCGGTGTGACACAACGTAAAAAAATTTAACATCGCTTGCATTGAGTAGGTAGTAAATTTCAACAATTATATCGAACTGTAATAATTGTCATATTACTATGTATTTTGTACGAGATTGTGTGTCTTGACTGGATATTTATTTAGCGCAATTAGCATACCTACTTATTTCTTAAAAATATGTTAGAACAATACGATAATAAAGTAGTCATACATTCTGTACGTGTGATTATTTTTGACATTATATTGTATGGAAGAGCCGACATATTTCTTTTTTCACTGAGTTGAGAACCTCCGTATAATAGCGATTTCAAATCTATACTTTTAACTTACAGCTGCAGAAACAGTTCCCCCTGGCGTTTGAGTTCAACGAGTACTACTTGCGCTTCGTGGCGTATCACTGCGTGTCGTGTCGGTTCCGGTCCTTCCTGCTCGACAGCGAGGCGCAGAGGGCAGACCTTGGCATCACTGCCGCTGATGATAAACGAGCTGATACTAATCGGATGGTAAGAATAAACTTTAATAACATGTTGTTATATATAGGTACTTGTTTTTGAATGCAAAATGTTTGCGCATGTTTGCGCAATCACGATAAATGTTTGCGCAATAACGCTTAGTAAAGAATTAAAATGTAAGTTTTGCAGTGTACTTGTAATTCGACCGGTTTAGTTTCGGTTAAATCATTTAGTAAAATATTTGGATACCTTGGATTTATTTGGGTTTCTTTTAAAAAAATATAACATTCTATTTTTAAGTTTTAAGTTTCGAGAGACGTTCGCTGTTGTTGTTGCTCGGCTTACTCACGTAATTATTTGATGAGGAACTCGACTAGTTAAAAGCCATGCAAGCCATGCTATACAAGCATGCATATTCATGTGCAGCATTCCGCGATCCGCGACGCGACGTGGCGATTTTCGCGCTACTACGCACTACAAATTCTGTTTTTATTGTTCACTTTATTTTTACTACTACTTTTTAACCAAGGAGTAATGAATTGAATTCGTATTAAAAATGTATAAATAATTTTATATAATCTTCAATTAATCATATTACAGGTATATCTTTACGAGGCCGGTGGCGAGGCAGGTGCGGGATCAGAAGAGGAATGCGCGGGAGGGTCGTCCGGCCCTCGGGCCCCTACACTGGGACACTCACTGTTTGACTACATAGACAGGCACCATCAGAAGTCACCAATCTTCTACAACTTCTTGTATACGCCTGATTTGGATAATCCAGTGAGTATATTTGGGAAATATTATTAAAAATATTTTTTTTTTGGTATAGTAGAAATGAGATTATTTCTACACGTTTTATTCTATGGGAGTCATCGGTAACTTGGAAGGCGGAGGATTAACCTTCATTTATTGACTGGCTGTCAAGAACTTAGGGTTAATCTTAGAAGCCAGAGTTTTTATGTGTCTAAAGCAATTTTGTTTATTAATTACAATAATATTAAGTAACATAATATTATAATGGATTCTCTAAAACCCACGTGTGTCTAGCCGGAATAAAGTATTTTCATTAAAAAAAATATGCGATGTCTCATTGCGCAAAAATTGCACAAGGTTTTGCGCATAACCCAAATAAATGCGCAAGATTTTGCGCAACAACTCTATCATAAAAATACTCAATTTCCGACGATTATATTTCCAGGTTCTCCGTCCAGTATCGTCAATAAGTGCTCTGGAAGTATGGCAGTACTACACGAGCGAGGAACTGTCACACGGTGCTCCATACGACCTGGAGGTCCTGGCGCCTGCAGAACCTGAGGCACGCCATCCACAACGGAGGGTCGTTACTGCTGGGTATGTTATTACGTCTTGTTGTTATTGCTGTAAGGTTTATTATTGTGTGACAGAATTTGTAATACCATATCTCTTAAATTAACGTCTGTTGATCTTCGAAGAGTCTTGAGTCTAGAGTAATAGTGCTTTTAATAGTGGATTTAGAAGATAAACTGTTTTTATCCATATCTTGACAAATAATATTATTTTAGCAGATTTTTATTATAATTCTGTGTGACCTAATTGATATCCCAGTTTTTATCAATATAGGACTATCAGATGAAAGAATCATTCAATTTATCACTATCATCATCATCATCAGCATCAGCCGGAAGACGTCTACTGCTGGACAAAGGCCTCCCCCTTAGTCCTCCACGTCGAACGACAACTCGCCACCTACATCCACTGGCTCCCCGCAATTCCGCAATCATTCAATTCCCGAATACGTCTAATGAGTATAGATTGTAAAATTACAATTGTATTTTCTATAAACGACGGTTTCCTAACGATATATTGTAAAATAATAACAACAACCTGCGACCTATGCGAATGATCTTGAATAAAACATAAAACATTATTTTTGTTTCCAGCTACGATAGCATAGCCCGTAGCATGCCGGATTCGTTCACCGGCCTGTTGGAGAGGATCAGACAGCTGGAGCTGGAGCTGGGACACCTGCCGCAGAAATGGAGAGTTAGGTGGGACCAACTAGAACTGCCCAATACTCTGGAGTTACAGGTTAGTTGTAGTTTTAAGTTTTCATACATTTGAAATGTTTTTTTTTGTACTTAATAGGACGGCGTTTGTAGTACATAATACAATGGTACGTGCACGGGTATACAATCCGCGCCTAACAGTGTTGTAATGTATTGGTAGCGCAACTCGTCGATGTCGTCGGGCGTGGTCCGGCGCGCCACGCTGGCGGTCCACAAGCGCGGCACGCTGGAGGTGCTGGTGCGGGGCCGCCTGGCCGCCGCGCCCCCCGCGCCCGGCCCCGCGCCCGCGCCCCCCGCGCACCGCTGGGCCCCGGCCTCCGCCGCCGCCCCCGCGCGCTGCGACCACTGCCAGGACCTGCTGTGGGGACCGCTCAAGGTATACACCACTTCTTTCTTTGTGCTGTTTAAAAAAATTACGTGTTTTTTTAGATAAAAGATACTGTTGTCAAAAATGGCATGTTAAAATGTGTTTTATTAAGCATGTTCAATCGTTTTGAGCATTTGAAAGGGTTCAAAATTAGAATGTCAAGTTGCAAGTAAGCCTGAAAGTACGCTCATTTTGAGCAACATTCCGACACACATGCTACTAAGTGACAAGTGCTCAATTGAAACATGCTCTCGTGCTTGAAATAAGCATGTGTTTCAAAACCTTCAATTTTGTCAGATCCCCTTCTAGATTGTCTTTATGTATGTGACAATACTGTGTCCCCCCAGACGGGGGTGCGCTGCGTGGACTGCGGCGCGTCGTGCCACGAGCGCTGCGCGGAGGCGTGGGCCCCGCCCTGCACCAAGTACAAGGCGCCGCCGCCGCCCGACGCAGACACGCTCTGCGCGCCTCTCTCCGCAGGTACGCTCTATCAATCTATTTACTATACACCGAACTACATACGTGAACGAACCATGCTATGGGCCGACTAACCGGAGTAAAACCACGACCTCACAAGAAAACTGAAGTTAAATAACTAGACTCTAGTTGTTTAACTTCTGTTTTCCCACAACGCTCTAGTTACTAGAGCTTTATGTGTAACTGTTGAGTGAAGTTACCGGAGACCTAATCTTCCCCTCCATCTCCGATTCCCAAAACCCCTTCCAAACCGATAACTCACTAGTAACTCTCCTGAGGGGCGGCGTGAATTGCTTACCATCGTGTATAGCCAGGGTTGCCAGTCAGCTTGATGTATTAACTACTAAATGGGAACTATTTGTTGTTCACCAGACGGTGCAAGTGTGAACCTCTCGTTTGTCGTCCAATAGGCATATAGGAAGTCTCATACCATTGTACGTTCAATATTTGACGGCTGCAGTGATTGACAAAAAACCTCTTGCTGCATTTGCGCTATCTGGTGACAAAAAAATACGGTGGCTCCCATTGATTCAGCGATACACTCGTTCAGTTGTACACTTCCGATGAAATATCCGTTAGTATAATTTGATAAAGCCTATCAAAGTCCCTACAATACATACCTCTATTACAGGAGTGTCGACCCTCCAGTCATCATCTCAGCAGTACTACGAGCAGTTCTCATCCAACGTGGCAGAGAACCGGACGCACGAGGGACATCTATACAAACGGGGCGCACTACTCAAGGGGTGGAAGCAACGGTAACTGCTAATATTTACTTTTGGCGACCTTGAAGATAAGTTAAAAGATAATACCTGACTGAAAACACAACGCGATGTGGATAGAAATTTCCAATGGGCAATAATCCACCAGACATAGTGGTGATCAAGTGATCATGTCTGTCGCTTGGACATAAAATTCCTTTTCCTGATCTAGGATACATAAAACTCTGTTTACTTTGTCCATATCCCGCCTCAGATTGTTTTCAGTACTGAATTAAGTAAATATTGGGCTACAACTCTGTATATAGAATAAAGTATAATCAAATATAATTTGTTGTATTTACAGTTGGTTCGTACTGGACTCCATCAAGCATCAGCTGAGGTACTATGATGCGATGGAAGACTCGCATTGCAAAGGATTCATTGGTAAGTTCTAGTAAAAGAAGACTATAATACAATCGTATCGACCCTTACCCTCGCAAATGTAGTAAGAGTCAAGAGCCAGTGAAATCAATCAATCTATCTATACATATAATAAAATTGTAGAAAAGTCAAAATTGTACATTAAATATTTTTTTTAAAGAATACTTGGGACGTGATCTGCAGTCGATACTGAAGCCAAAAATTTGATTTTTAAAATTTCTGTCTGTTTGTCTGTATGTATGTCCGGGATGATCTCAAAAAGTCCTGCATGAACTTCCTTTAAATTTTGTATGGTTATTACTAACGGGTCCAGTCAATATATAGGCTACATATTATCACGCTATCACCTACGAGGTTGGCGCAGTAAATCACTATTCCACGCAAATGAAGTCGCGGGCACAGCTAGTATTGAATAAACTAATTTTTATAGTTTTCAATTGAATAAATGTTTGTTTCAGATCTCGCCGAGGTGATCACAGTGACACAGGCATCGCCCGCGCCGGGACCGCCCAAGAAATGTGATGATAGATCCTTCTTTGATGTAAGTTGCATAATATTACAACTTTAATTCCTCAAAGCGATGAACATTTGCAATGTGAAATCCACTTTACTAGTATTGTATGTATGAGTACCATGTAATAGGTGGGCGAGCCTATTACCATACACTTGGTACCATTCTGGTTGCCATGATGTATACTGTTAAGAATTTTCAAAGTCTTAGAAATCGAATAATGCACTGGAGCAGAGGAACGGAGGACGCCTACTACACTAGCGTATTTTCTTTTTAATTTCTTGGTAATGTTTTCTGATACGAGTATTTTATTAATTTGTAACGTATGTCATATGAAAGGCAATTTAGATAAATTTAAAATGAGATCTTTTTGTTGTGAAAGGATTTTTTTTAAGTTATACATATACACAGTGTTGTTTTAAAGCCGCGTCATTTTCTAGGAGATAACTCGGCTATCGATTCTGAGTCCGAATCAATAAAAAATTTGTAGGTAAATATTTTTAATTTTTCTGTAAATTACGGAAATTCGTCTAGTAACTAGCTTTATAACGCGGCTCAACACACAAACTCAACAAACACGTAATTGACATTATTCCTAATTCCATAAATCAAGAAACAAATAAGATCATCAAACAATTATCATCCAATAAGAAACATTGCTGTCGTTTATTCTGAAATACTGTCGAACTTAAACGATTAATTATAGCCGTTTTTTTAATTATTGGCCCGAAACTTTCTCTTACATTAAACCTTTATGACTTCTGTGGCATACCCCCGAGAAATGACACGGTTTCAAAACTACACCTTGTAAACGTCTGTGACTCCGTTTCTTTGCTTTTAAGTGTATTTTTTCTGGCTCATGAATCGAACTTGAGAAATCTTGCTCGACAATTGCTATTACTATTAAACTTAATATAAATCTCTTTTGTTACAGTTACGCACAAGCAGACGTACGTACAACTTCTGCGCTAGTGACGCGACCGCTGCGCAGGAGTGGATCGAGAAGCTACAGGCCTGTCTGCAGTGAGCACTAGTGCTGTACCACGGTATTAGACATCGATGTATATCGAGAGTTCACGCTCACGACTCACGAGCTGAAGTATCTGTCGATAGATAAGGCGGCAGTAGTAATCGATAGTAATCGAATGACGCGACTCGATTCAGAGTTATCGATATCGAGACGAATCGATTGTTGGAAAAAATCGTTTTAATACATCTAAGACTCGATAGAAATGGTATTACAAGACTATTATTTTTTGTTTTCATATTAATTACAAGTTGATTTAAATGAATATTATTCCGGGCTTATGTTCGGCCGGGAACGTTGAACATTGACAGTAGTTAATTTAATTTATGAAGTTTATTGTGTTGTCCTGTGGGGGGTAGGCAGAAAGCTTGGTAATGTTTAAATGGATGTGTAGGGCTATGATCTCGATGCGGTGTTAATATTGACTCTATGGATTGTTTTTGTGAGATAAAATGATACAATAATACAGCTGTTATAAACGAATGGACTGCATTGGAATGGATAGATGTAGATTGTATAGAACATTTTAAAAGATCCATCTATTTGTTTAAGAACTCATCAGATTATAACCTGATTTCAATGAACCCTTTGTAACAAAAATACTCTGGAAATAGAAACAATAGTCTTTAGAATAATTGCCAAACGTACCAAATAAAATCGATATATTTAGACTTTTATAGAAACTTTATTGTTTTTAGCGGCGGTCGGTTGAAAACGCAATGAACAAGACATTTTGGATAAGTTCTTTTAACTCGTCGAGTACCGGTTTTGTAGACACAATTATAGAACAATAGGTTGCGGTCACCGGTGACAGCTTGGTGTTTGACGGTTTAATATCAAATCATAATCGTCTTATTTGAGTACCTTGAAAACATGTTACTCATTCCAAGTAGAAATAAAGTCAAATACAAGTATTTTACAATCTCGTAATGACAATCTCACAAAAACAATTCAACAAAATATACATAGTTTAATGATATCAAAAGTATTTATATAATAAAATAAAATAATTATTATTAATAATAAAGAATTAGTGTCGTATGTTTCTCGTTTGTAAATAATGTAACGATGACTGTTGTGTAAAGAGTTCGATTCCAGTTTGTGTAAAGTTATGTTGTTAGTTTACGTTAGATGTTATTTGTATTGTTTTTTTGTAATGCTTTTTTATGACGAGGCGGCTTTGTGTTGGGACATTGCGTTTTGGAAATATCAAAATTAGATTTCTGAGCAGTATTTTATTAATGGTTAATTTTTTTTTTGTTCTGAACCTTTTAGTATGCATTTAATACCTCCACTGCCAAAGTCAATGTAGGCAGATGTTAGTGGAGGATTTGCCTTCAAAAATGTTCAGTCAGCACTTAAAGCTTACTACTTAAGATTGTAATGAAAGTATATGGCACACGGTAACACAAATATTTTGATTTTAATACAAATCGCTTTATGTGAAGACAAGATTATATTTATTTATAATTTAATAACAATTTATCTGTAAACGGTTTTGTCTCAACACCGACGAAGCTACCTACGGAATATAATTACACCGTACACAGCTAGCCATAGAACGCTATACTTAGTTCTAATAAATGTAAAGTCTATATAATTATATAACGTTCGGGAATCTCGTTCCAACCCCACAACTTGTTACATACTCATTTTTGTATGATTTGTAAATAAGTACACGATTTTTTTGTTCCACATATCAGGTAGGGGGCGCCACCGTGTATGTACATACATAGCTCATGTAAATATTAACGTTATGTTTCTGTAATTGCATTTATTATCACGATTGGTGGGTTATGAGAGAGCGCTTACTGGTCTTACAACTGTGTAATACTCAAAAATTAAGAAGGAACCTTGAGATTAACTTAACTTGAATGCATATGTCGTTGTGTACAAGACCAGTTGTTATTCGCGCAGAGATTATTGTGCCAAATATGCACAAAGTGCACAGTGTGAAGTGATTTGTTCATAAGCGATGGCTTCAGAGCTAATAGCAATATTGTTTGCCTTATTTTGCATACGAAGTACTGCTATATGCTTTGGAATAGAGGCGACTGTGAAGTGGTACACAAGTTAATGAACAAAACTGGATTTTAAAATCAATATTATAAGGGTTAAAAGTTTAAAACTACTTCAGAGCTCGCCCAAGTATAGTAGAAGTTAGCTTGGCTTCAACAAGACGTGACAAGATGAAGCCTATTGCTGTACGTGCAATATAAACATGTTATATAATTATTCAAGTTAGCACTCATTTGTCGAATTATGTGATGTAAAAATGACTGATTTTTATGTTTGGGATTAGCACATGTAGTCATTATTTTTCATCGTTTTATTGTATTGTTATTTCGTTGTTTCAATGTACGGCAGTAGGCTGAGATAACCCTGTGGCAGTGCACTCGCGTACCATCAAATAAAGAGATTTTTAAAATTGTTGTTTGTGTTTTTCTTTCCAATTCCACATTCCCCTGATTTTTTTTAAGCTCATAATAATATCTCGATCTTTACGTACGTAGGGTAAACGATATTATAACGACTTTACTATGAATTTCGACGGTAGTATAGCTTAGGACTTAGGATTTTGAAAATCTTGCAATATCTCGAAAACTAGATGTCCTAGCTAAAGATTAATTAAATTTTCGAGCCATAGTCACACCCCCGTAAAAACATATTTGACGGATGCGGTGGAAGTAACATTGCGCCGAGTTAGGCTGAAATGGACGCTCAAACATTTGACAGGGTGTGTATCTAAACGGGGACTCGAAAATTCCAAGTGGCCTAAAATTAATCTGTCTGTTTTAAATTAATAAGGTTTTATTTCTTACTAAACCGCTTGAATGCCCGTATATGAGACACAATAGAAAATACATTGTGTCTCGCGTGGATCCACGTTTAACCTAACTTTGGGGCTAATTTAGCCTTACTCACTAAATGACTACAGAATTAGCAATATGTCTACACTAAGTATTCTAATCACAGATATAGATATACTGACAAGACATAGATAGATAGATGGATGCTATAAAAACGAGGTTCCCGTCTACTGGACATCAGGAAAGAACCAAATATGTATTGTCTGTCTATCGAGGACTATAGTCATACAGGGAGTATTCTTGTAGTGACTCCTGATGGTCTCATCTCGGATGACGTAGCAGCTCACACTGCACTGGTGTCCGACAGCGCTGCCCCTTGTTTCTGCTTTTCTTCCTAGTTGTTCTAAATGGGATTACGCGACCTATCACCGATTAATCGGCACCGAGTGATAGAGTTGGGGATTATACAATATCTTAGAGGACTTGGACTACGTCGATCGAGGCTGACCTGCGACAGGAGGTGGCAAAACCAGGACCCGGTGACTAGGTGAAAATTAACTCCCAACATACCAAGAAGAACTAGTGCGAAGAATCATACACCGGAATGCATCTGTTGGAAATTGGAGGTAGTGAAGAAAGCATTGCTTCAAGAATCGCCAAATCCCTGATTACCTTCGCCCAGTTGTGACCTTTTTTGATGGACGCGGTAACTGACTCAAAGAATTGAGCTCAAAATCTTCGAGTTCAATGCTTTTGTCTGCTTTACACGCGCGATGGCGCGAAATGTGGAAAGTCACCAAGGAATCGCATGGAATGGTGGATTGGTCATTCCACATATGTAGTATACATAACCCAAGCGAGCTTTCGCTTGCGCATCCGACTCCAGGAAGAGTACGAAACCAATCTCAATTAATGAATCATTGACTGCACAGTTGGCGCGGTGGTTGGGTAACCGACTTTTTTTTAGAATAAGCCGGTAAACGAGCAGATGAATCACCTGATGGCAAGCAATCGGCGGCGGCGTCGTCGAAGGGCACCGGCGACACAGGGGCGTCACAAATGCGTTACCGGCCTTTTTTTGGCTGCCGCGCAACATGCGATTCCCGTACGGAACAACTGTTTGTGTGATCCACAGACTGTTGTTCCAGGTCTGCGTGTAATCTGTATGTGAAATTGTATGTTTGTAAACGCACGCAACACAGGAGAAAATCCTAGTGTGGGGCAACGTTAAAAAAATCTAGTTGCAGAAAGGCGTGAGACAGGTAAACGTGATTTCTTCGAAACTGTTCACTAACGCATTGGAGGACGTTTTCAAGTTGAACTGAAGCGAACTGGGCATCAATATCAACATCACACACCTCCGCTTCGCCGACGATATAGTCATCATGGCGGAGTCGCTGGAGCACCTAAACACCATGCTCAGTGAATACATACATACATAACGTCACACCTGTCTCCCATGTAGGTAGGCAGAGACTATGGAACGCCAATTACTACGATTCCTACATACCTCTTTCGCTTCATCAACAGTCATCAATCTTTTCATGCATGCTTGTCGGTTAAGGGTACTTTTATAATTTAGCCTTCTTTAATATATCGCCAATCTGGTCACTATATGTCCGTCTAGGGCGCCCTTTACCGACACCCCTAATCATATCCGCATACTTCTTTCGTTAATCCCCGTCACACTTTCCATCTCTCGTAAATAGTATATCTCGATATTGCTCAGTGAAGTGACCTCAATACTGTCTCCGAACAGGGGGCTTACTCTTGAATCCAATTACGATCAATCGACATCGGTATTGTGTTTCATACTCTTGTTTTGCAACAATAGCGCCCATCGCATCCGTATTGCGCGCATATTGAATAAACTAAATAGTTTTGAATTTGGCTTTACATTTCGCACTCTGAATGTTATTTTAACAGCTACGATAGGGGTTGTACAGTTTGGACATTGAATAATTATTGAAATTTTATTGGATTGAAATTGTATTGACATTGAGGTTGGTTTCAAGAGCAAGCACCCTGGTGGGTCTTAAAATGAACAAGGACGACACCAAAATCACGTTAAACGTCCATGGTGCACCTGTACCTGTCATCGTTGGGAACTTTGGGACTTCATCGTCATCACTGCATCTGTGTAATAGATACAACCATGCATGTAATGCGATATTGCTACTACCGCGTGTGGTACGACGCTACCTATCATGGATTTTATGTTTCTTCGTTGCTGTACTCAGAACAACCACCTTCGCGCAAGAAAGTGGAGCCCTGGGCCTTGTGTATTGTGAGGACGCGTGATCTGACAGTTGATCCGTATCCCTGATTCTTAAGGGATTCCTTTTCTGCCTGAGTGTGAGAAAGTATCGAGGAGTGACTTTGGGATCGGCCATCACACCGGCTTCAAAGTGGTTCTTAAGAGCCTCATCTATCATTAGGCGATGGCAGCTCTCTCGCTGCCCCAAGTCGTTTACTAGAATGGGCGCCGAATAGTTTTCCTTTGAGGTCATTGGCGTATTTGCACCATTTCACCGGGCCTAGCCTCCCTAATGAATGGCACCACATCCAAAACAAGTGTGTGCAAAACGTATGACGCACTGCCAGAAATGCGTCTACTCTGACTTGTTTTGGACAAGCTTGCAGGGTGTTGACCGAAGTGAAGGGGAAGAAGTTCAGAAGTGAAGGATACAAATTCCAAAATAGCGGGGACGCTGCCGTGGCTTATGAAAAAGGGAAAACAGCAGACCTTATAGGATGTGTCAGGGCTTCAAACATCATGAAGTCATTGTGTACGAGGACAGCGGCGAGGACTTGAGTTTCCTCAAAAAGCCAGTTTAGCACCCGCTAAGGGTGGGTTCAAATTCAAATTCAAATTCAAAATTTTTTATTGCATATCATGTGTACAATTGTTGGTGTTACATGAGGTACAGTTTCAACATGAAACCCGGCTAGGGCACAGCAACATATGGAGCAAAATATGATCTAACTAAACTACTATTAATAGTTATTATATTATAACATAAGAAATGTTGTTTTCGTACTAAACATTAAAGAAAGAAGATATTTATTTATTTTATTATAATATGTATTTGCATAAATTTCTTAATAATGGTGTTATTGTATGTAGTACATGTATTATTATATTTAATATGATTTTTATTGAGTAGGTAGGTATGCATTGAGTATTAAGTTTTGCTGCTAGCTTGGTCATCAAAAAACTCATTAAGGGTGTAGTAACATTTTTCAATGAGGAACCGTTTTAATTTATTTATAAATACGTTATATTTTTCTGCTTCTTTTATGTATTTCGGTACAGCGTTATATATTTTTATTGACATTACTAGGGTGCCAGATGAATACATATGAAGTCGGGAGCTCGGTAGGTTTAGTCTGGTTTTGTGTCTTAAGTTGTAGTCTGTCTTATTGTCACGTGTACTGTAATATTCTGGGCGGTTTCTGACAAATTTACAAATTTCCAAGATGTAGGTGCATATCAAAGTAAGTATTTTATGATTTCTAAAATGTGGTCTACAGCTGTCGGTTTGTTCTATATTTGTCATTATTCTGATTAACTTTTTTTGCATGGTAAATATGGTCTGTGAGTCTGTACTATTGCCCCATAGTATTATGCCATAGCTTATCCACGCTTGGGCATAAGCATAATATGTGGCAAGTGCGGTTTTAAAGTTGGTGGATTTTTTTATTTCATATAGGGCGTAGGAAAATTTCGATAACTTTGATTTAATTTTTTGTATATGTGATTTCCAGTTGATATGTGAGTCTATTGATAAGCCTAGTAAGGTAAATTGATTTACTTGTTCTATTTGGATGTTATTGAATTTGAAGTCAATTTTAAGGGGGGATTTTTGTTGGGGGTGAAAAGTCATAAGTTTGGTTTTAGAGAAGTTGATTTCTAAATTATGGTGTTCCATCCAGTTTACTGCTGCAGAAAGGAGAGTGTTAAGCTTATTATCTAAGTTCATATTGTTTTGGCATGACGTGATAAGTGATATATCGTCAGCAAACAGGACGCATGGTTCTTTTATGGTCTTAGGGAGGTCATTGATGTAGATGAGGAACAAAAGGCACCCTATTACACTTCCTTGAGGAATTGATGCATTTACAGGTTTGCATTCAGATCTTATCTTAGATATTTGTTTGGTTTGATTATCAAAATATTCTATCTCCACAAGTTGTTCTCGGTCTCTAAGATATGAAACAAACCAATCATGAGCTTTTCCCCTTATTCCTATTCCTTTTAATTTATCCAGCAGTATGTGAAATTGTACCCTATCGTAAGCCTTTGTCATGTCGAGCAGTATACCTATCGCGTAGTTCTTGTTGTCGATAATATTTAAAGCTTCATGGATATATTTGTAGACCGCAAGGGTTGTAGTTCTGTTTTTACGAAAACCATTCTGGCAGTCGTCTAGTATATTATATTTTTCACAGAAATCATAAACGCGCTCGCACATTGCTTTCTCGAATATCTTCGAGGCTGTAGGTAGTAAAGCTATGGGACGGTAGTTATTTGGGTCTGTTTTGTCGTTCTTCTTGTGAATTGGCTTTATTATGGATTTTTTAAGTTGGTTTGGGAAGGTTCCTTCTTCGAATGATTGATTAATTAATTTGTAGAATGGTAGTGTTAGTTCGTTCGCACATTGTTTAAGTAAGGAGGGAGGGAGCTCATCAACGCCATAACTTTGTTTGTTTTTTAAGTTTTTTATGATGTTATTTACTTCGTAGGGATCTACAGGTTTGAGAAACATAGTATTTTCTATTTGACGTAGTACGGGGAAACCTTTAGGGTCATGTCCATGTAGTGTAGTGGTTTTTACACCAATTGACATAAAAAAGTTGTTAAAAACGTCAGCAACCTGTGAAGGTTCATTGACCACACTATTGTTTAGATTTAATTTTATATTGTGTTTTTCGCTGTTAATTGTTTTATTTGTATTTTCATTTATGATCCTCCACATGGTTTTTGTTTTATTTGAAGATTTATTTATTCTATTTATATATTGTAGCTTTTTTGCTGTTGTTACAGATTTTTTTAATACTTTTTCATACTTTTTGTAGTATTGTAATAATATGGGGTCATTTGATTTTTGTGTGAGGATTTTTAGGAGTCTTTTGTTTTTACAGGACAATTTAATACCTTTTGTTAGCCAGTACTTTTTCTTCTTTGCATTTAATTTAATTTTCTTTAAAGGAATACATGAATTGAGAATGTTTGTTAGAATATTATTAAAAGCGTTATAATTTTCGTTTATATTGTTAGTTTCTATTAAGATGTCATTCCATTTTATTTTGTTAAGTTCGGATTTAAAAGTTTGTATGTTTTTGATAGTAAATAATCGTTTTCTTGTGTGCCATATTATGTTTTTGTTTTGTTTATTCGATATTGTATGTAAGATGGTGGCATTGTGGTCGGAGAAACCGAATTCTTCTACCGTTGTGTATGTGTTATTGTTTTTAAAGTTGGTAAATATTAGGTCTAAACATGTCGAAGTAGTTTGTGTTATGCGTGTAGGAACTTTTATATGTTGGTTAAACTTATATTCTAACATGAGATCTAAGAATGAATTCGTTCTTAAATTATTTTCCAAAGTATTAATATTAAAATCTCCACCTAATATAACATTACACTTTGAAAATTTCTTACTTATTAGGGACATAATTTGTTTTAGTTTAGTTATAAATTGTTCTTCTTCCTTTCTATTCCAATAACAACTCAGAATTAACATATTTTCCTTTTTTATCTCTATCGCACAAATTTCTAAACAATACTCAATAGACATATCACAAAAATCACTTATCTCTACATAGTCAATTTGGTCCTGCAGTAGGATGCACACGCCGCCGCCGGTTCGAGAGCTGCGACAGTACGATGCTGCAATTTTGTATCCATCAAATCGCAGGGTATCTAGTTTTTCTTGTGATAGCCAAGTTTCACTTAAGCACATGACATTGTATATGGGTTTCTCATCAATAAATGCTTCTAGTAGGTGTTGTGTAGTATAATGCGTCAAGCGTGTCTTTGCATTGTTCTTACATATGCGTACAGTATTGAAATATGTATCAGAGACATTGTAGAACATACTTTTTTAAAAGAGTAACGAATGGAGTTTCTTGCTCGTTCTTTTCCATTCGAATCTACGTTTTGGAATGAGCACCTAGCTTCACCTAGCTTCACTGACGGACTGACTGACAGACTATTATTTATTTTGTATTTGTTGACGTTTCAAAAGTACCAAACTATGGTTTAATTGAAAAATATTTTTCTTTCAATTTCTCAAAATAATAGTGGCTTAATGTTACTCCTTAGTACATACATCAGCTAACTGCCAATAAATATTCCGTCAAAATCGGTCCAGCCATTGCAGAGATTAGCCAGTACAAACAGAAAGACAGAAATTGTAAAAAATGTTACTGAAAAATAAAAATGTTGTATGTGTATCGTATTTATATTTATATGTATATGGTTATTTTGATAATATAAACATACACTCTAATTTTATTTATATGTATAGATGTAGTCCTAGTACTTTGGAACAAATATGATATAGAATTGTTGTGGCTATCTAAAGCCCAATTCATGATGAAGTGTTGATACACAAATAAAACGCACATATACCATATGTAACAATTTTATTTTACCAATATTCATAATATATTAACATATGTGGTCCAAAACCACCCTCTTTGATAATTATATAATACAAAGAATTTCTCACAAATGGTCGCTGAACCTATAACAACGAAAACAAAACAGCTACAGACTAAGCGCGACCGACTGTTGACAGGTAAGTGATACTCAGCCTCGACTAACGTAATGACTCCCACTATAATTACACAATACAACAATATTTAAAACGAGGTATAAAAGGGAAAAAGAAAAGATTAAACATTTCTCGTAATATATTAATAATCGTTACTGTTTATTTAACCTAAACGAGAGGGCGCTAGCTGTGAACACGGGTTGCAAGTACCGCGGCGCTACATAATATTAGGCCTTCGCTCAGTCCGGCTGCGCCCTCCGTTATCTTACATACATTATTAATGCATTTTACATTATATACAATGGGAAATAAATATTCTACAAGCACGACGAGATATATTATAATCGTGTATGTACATAAACACAACTAGCGTGCAGTGGCGACCACTGTCCAGTACCATTATATCACAAAAATATAAATCCCATTGCCGCCTAAACGTATCATTTGTTATCTAATTATTTATATTGGCGTACACTTTTTGGCTTAGCTAAATTCCTCATCGATATTATTAGAGATGTACCGGCTACGATATCGGTCTACTAATCGATTTGGGACCCGATATATGTTCAAACGGTTTGATTTCACCTTCATAGGTCGACATTGCCTTTATACACTTTATATACAACTGATCTAAGTAGACGTTATTGCTAGTTATACACAATACAGTTACCCACTAATCAAATAGTCGATACACCTCTGAGTCGCTCGCGCGGTCGCCTGGTACGGCGCGTATACTGCGCGAGTACTGCGCGTATACTGCGCGTATACTGCGCGACCTCTGACGCTTGACAGTGGATGCGGCGCAGTGTGACTACAGTTACAAATAAACAATTTTTGGTTTCCATATTGTACCTACAAAGAGTTCCATCCAAAAATATTCAAACACCGTCTTTACTTACATTTTTAACAAAACCATTAAAACGTTGATTTGAATTTTCGTTTTTATAGAAACGTACAAAAATTTTAGGTCGAAAATGTTTCAGTAAGAAAATCGTCTTGTTAAATATATCAAAAACAGCTCGATCCATGGGGTATGGGGTTCGATGTCGAGTGGAATGATATCATAAGACGTATTAAAGCTGAGTGCTGCGTTGAGTGACGGTGTCAAGTAAATATATCTATAGCTATTCGTATAGAAGTAAACACATCGTTACATCTGAATGTACTTAACATCTGTTACTATTATAATGACTACATCGTGACTCGTGAATATAAAACGGAACAATTTTATAACCTGCCACGCGTTCACATAGTACCGTAACATACTTCTGTACTGTGCGCCCGACACATGAATGAACACCACTAACTGTCCCCACAAACATTCGCTAACTGTACTTAATACTGCTTAGTTAAGGGTACATTAATTTTATCATAAGGGCCTGTTTTATATACAACTATTTTTATATATTTACGTTTTATGGTACATATAATACTTATCAAAGCTTTAATATGGGGTATTGGTAAAATTTAAGACTTCTTAAATGATACCAGTACGTTTACAAACGAGGGAAGCAGGAGCGATACACTGCACGTAGAGACATGCCAGCTAAGTAGTAATATCAGTCGACTATTTAAACAACATTAAATTCTGCTAAGGCCAACATCTGCTTGTTCTAAGCATAGAGTGCAATTTGTTCCTAGATTCATGAAAATATTTTTATTATTTTCCACAAGTTAGCGCGTTCGTTCACGTCTAGTGCCGCCGCCCACAGAGCACAGGTGACAGTCCGTGCGTGCGCCGGCGCGGGCTAGTGGCCCACTGGCTCCACGTAGTTGGCCGGGTACAGGCCCACTCGACCGTCCTTGCGACCCTTGCACCAGCCCTGTTCATCTTCGTCTTCTAATTTTTCGAATAAGTCCCCTGAAACAATCAAAATATTATTATTATTTTGCTTTATTTATTACTACGGAGTATTGATATAATGGAGTGCTAGGTGCGGCGTGGTGCAAGTAATGCATGGATGTTACCGCGGCGGCTGTGAGAGCGGGGCGGGGCGACGCCGGCGACACGTCCTCGGCACATCGCACTAACTGACCGTTTCGTTCTAAGGAGAAATATGGGTATTAGCACCCCATTCATTGCCTACTTCATGAAGGAATTGGGCCTGAGGCATAATTATAAACCCCTTTTCGTCCACTAGCATGCTACTAAGTTCGATCCGATTCTTCGATCCCAGACTACAGCGCACCGTATTTTGTCAACACAAAAAGACAGTCTTATAATTAGAATAATGCCTCCCATTTTCCAAACAACAATGCCTAAAAACACCATAAATGCATCCTTTAGAACTAAAACCCATGCTATAGTTCTCTCACCTTGTCTGAAGCTGAGTTCGTCGCTCTCCGCGCCGGTGTAGTCGTACAACGCTCGCACCGGTACGCCCGGCTCGCCCGTGTCAGTGAGCGCTCCGCCCGACTCCTCGTCCCACTCGTCCTCGTCAAACGGGTTCTCCTGTCCTTTAGTGCTGTCCTTAGCCGGCGATGTCTTGTTCGATTTAGGCGCTGCTGCTGTACCATTGCTGGAATAATTAAGAAATAATAGTAAATAATAATGTGATCTTAAAGATTTTTTTAGGGTGAAATATAAAGTACTGGTTTGACGATAATATATTATAAGAGATCAAATTATTTGAATCTAAACAACTGGGGCTTTTAAATACCATTAAACCCGTGGGTATAGACAATAACTACAAAGCGGCACCTACTTCTACACATAGGGCAAAGGTATTTATTAATTGTATTTATTGTATCTATGGATTATGTATACAATCTTAGCTACTAGTTACATTTCAAAATACGAGACATCGATTTACGTCACAATATTATTTTCTTAAGATTCATAGTCTATTGTCACAACATTAGCTGCTCCAATCAATTACAAGGACTACACTTAAGAACTCCTTAACTTAAGGGGGGAAATAGGTAATATCTACAACAGAATAAAATCTAACGGCTCATAGAAGGTGTCGGTCATATCTGTGATAGTGAATTGTGAGCTGTTAGCGACGTCAGGTTTCATCGACAGGCGCACAAGATGGCCGCTGAACGACTCGTCGAGCGCACGCGCACATCCAGGCGCGCATGCGAATATTTCAAGACGTTCGATACTAGGAAAGGAGGGGGATGGAATTGGAGTTAGGTTAAGTATAGCTTTGAATCTAAACGACAGGTAACTCGTTGTTTGTCATGCAATGCTACTCATGACTACGAGTCTCTAGTGTAGCTCGAAAATAATCGGGTTACCTCGTCAAATAGTTTTGCATATTTCAGTTTTTGGACATTAAAAGTAGGAAGGATTCGTCACTTTCAATTTCAGAACACTGCGACCGGGACGTGAATAACAACATCTCCTTAATTTTCGGTGACCTAACAAACTTGAGATTTTGGTAACAGCGATCGCCAATCCTACCAAGCTTGGGGATTATGGCAAATCGTATCTTAAGCCCAACGTGCAGGTATATTCTGGGTGATGATCATAAAATTAGATACTTACGTAACAGCAATAGGCGCACTGATGCTCTTTTTATCAATAGTGTTGTTAGCGCTGGCGGTGTTGTTGACGACTGTTGTCTGCGCCGGCGCAGCGTCCGTGTGGTTGGCAGCCTTGCTCGTTTTGTTGTTCGTGTTGTTAATCGGTGGCAGTTCCTGAAGTTGGTATAATGTCATTTTTTTATAAAAGCATAATTATTATTGATAATTTTATTATTTCGTGTCAAAAGACCTAATTATTTTTATTCTTTAAATTAGAATAGTATTTAATTGTCACGTAAAATATGTTCAATACGTCCCCCGCATAATAGGGATTACAAAACTACTTACGAAATAAAATGAATTTTTATTATTTTATTTTACTGTTTAATAATTTGGTCCTTCGACATTAATATTATAAAAAAATATATAATTTCATATCTGTATTATTATAAAGATCAATATTTTAATATTTACTTATAGATATTCTTTTAGAAATACATAATATACTATTACAATTAACTAATATAGATTGATATACGAGTGTTAAATTGTTAATTCATGCCAATATGCATAAAATTGTAGAGAAAAGCGAACATCCATCATGCAACATCGATATAACAAAAAATATAAAAAAATACATAAAAATATTAAAAAAATAGATCAAAATGAGAATGACCTCATCCCTTTAGAAAACAAACTACTTTAAACATGCTCCTAATAAAAAGCAGAAATTACCAATCCGGCTTTATATGATTCATTCTCATTTGAATCCTATTGTTTAAGATCGTACGGTTGATATTCGTACAACACTGTGACGCAGCGGGCGCGTGCGTGACGTCATCGTACGTACGACTGCGATGGTGCGTACTTTTTATGACAAGAGAAAAAATAGATTTTTTGACAATGTCCTTTTAGGAGGACAAAATTTCAGATTAATTGAATATTTAACGGATTGGCAAAACGAATAATACCAATTTTTCAGAAATCACTCAATATGATATTGTCATATAAATTTAATTTTTGTATTTAACAAAGCTAAAATCATTGTGGTATCATATTATCACCACTGAAAAACGCAATGATTGTATCACCACCATCGTAGACGTTCGCAAACTGATATAGAGGGTGTAACATAACGCAAAAAGTTATTACATGGCGTCCCAACTTACAAAACGGAACAATTTTTGCTCTACACATTTTGATAATTCACAAAACATATTAAACATAACATTGAGTATTTGTGAATTATCAAACCGTATAGAACAAAAAAAAAATAATATTTCTTAAGTTGGGACATCACATAACAAAATTTTAACGTAGACATTACACACTATACAGACACTAGCACATGAACCTACCCCAAAACTAACAAAACAATTTCCAACCTTACCCCTTAGGCATAAAGTTATAAATGTATTTTGCAGTTTAGGGTAGCTTTATATGCTGTTGTCGTTGTTAACTAAAGGTGGTTGAACATACATCTTCGCTGACGGGTCGTTGGTTGAGCAGTGTGATGGGCCCAGTAGGCAGGCTCTCCTTGGACTTGCCCTTCGCGATGTCCCGGAACTCCTCAGTGTACTCCTGCTCAGCGACACACACGTCACAAGCGATCACGGCCGAGACGATCATACGTTAGGAAAACAATAATTAAAAAATCTTAAAACAAAAATTACGGCACGATTTGTTTCGGCCGTCTTAAGTTTAGATCCCTGCTTTAGGTCGAAATTGGTAGAGAACTCATAATGTACTTATAGCCACTATCAATATAACCATTTTCTTCTTTAAATGCTACTTTTTTATGTCGTATTTTTCTAACGTCTGATCGCTCGAATGCAAAAAAAATGTAATTATTAAAAAAAAATAAACATAGACACGTCCATACAAAGCCGGTGTTCGTTAGAAGGTACTATGAAGCTTGCACTAGTTGAGGGGGCTACAGAGATAGACACATGCTATTAGGTAGTAATAATAAACTATCTAAAAAAATTGTCGGTCCTTCGAGGCGAAGGATTTACCTTAAGCAAAAATGTCGATATTAGCTTTTAAAAAGAATAAAAATTTAATTTCAACTTTGCCTAAATTTTATGGCTTAACTGCTAAACCAATTGTTATACATTTAAAACTGAGATAGTTTTGAATAAGAATCTTAATTTTATTAGTCTTATCATAACAATAAAAATCTTATTGAAGTTTATTAATTATAAAAAGTTCATAAATACATTTTTCCCTATGTATTTTAGTCTATGCTTGTCAATTGTCAATGGTACCATAATTGTATTATTACCTGGTCCTTATTCTCACAAAATGGTGGATGTCTCCAATACCAGTGGCATCTAGTGGTATTGCGTGCTTTACTAAAACATTTTGCTTTTTATTGCTACCTGTACTTCAGTGTGGATGAGTGTACATGAGTGCAACCTTTCAAATCGAATCCATACCGATTATACCGATTCCCGTAAATCCGAATCACATGACCTAATTTCGTAAAATAGGAATTTAGGAACAGCAGTAGAATCCCAATCATCCGAAACATTTCGATATTAGGATATTGGTTTACTCGATTGCTGCCACTAAAATGTATTTTTAGTCGAATGATCGACATTATAGTGACGGAGTTACAATTTTGAAATTGATGCCTCTTTTTGCAGTGCTAAATGTTTCTGATTGGCCGCTAAATAAATAGGTTGTTATTCAATAGCGCGCCGACCAAGTGTAGATGCCCCATGAATGGTGCAGTGATCGACTATGAGCGAAATAGTTCTTTAACACCAATCATCACGGTGTATATTCGTGTGTCACCATCAAACCTTTCGGTGCTTTGCAAAATCATTTGATTGCAATCCGATTAATTGATTGTCGGTATCAAGTGCTGGCTTATGACAGGCGATATACAGTGCATTTTGTGGGAACTAGTCGTTGTATTTAATTATAAGTGTTGCGTAAATTGCGAAGTGAAACACTTACCTTTAGATACAAACATAATAATAATTTATTAATTTACAAATCGGCCCTGAGGTAACATTTTAAATACAAATAACCTATATACAAATAGCGTGCCATTTAGGACCTAATATTTAGCACCTTCCCACAAAATCCACAGTCCATCGCCTATTCATAACCCCGTGCTAATTGTGACGCTAACAATAGACATTATGAGACCCATACTTTGACAGAAGTGGAACGATCAAGGTACAGGTCTGTGCCTAGAGTTGGCGTGAATCACCGAACCTACACCGTGGTCGTACCATCAGCGGGTTGCTATAGAAACGGCTGCTGCCATAGCACTGGCTGCTGATGACTGAGGGAGCGACGCGGCTGGATGCTCGCTCATCCACACCGAAGCAGAACGTCGGCAGAGCGAGTCGCAGACGGCGGACGGCGCGCGACCACGGCACGGTCGACGGCCGCGCTACCGGTCGCCGCGCGGTCGCAAGCACGCGAGCGAATATCGCTGACGCCTCCGCCAAGTATTTGTTACTTATCGGATCCGAGTCCGGCGTATCGACCTTTATTAATATTTCTTTTAATATTGTTACATTTATGTTCTGGTATGAGTTCTTACTGTCAAGTATGCACTGACCTAAAATGTTCATCGCAATGTCGTATCATTATTTACTCAGTTACCTAATTCCGTTTAATTGCAATATAAAATACCGTGAATAACTTCCAGTGACCAAATATAATTGCGATTGCTTTGAATTAATCAAAATTACTAAAGCAATTAGTCTGCACTTGACCCGAAACGTTTAAAATACTTTTCCCTGTCTAATTCTAGGTCGGTAATAAATATGAAAATATTGCAAAGTTGGAGGAAATCCGTTAGCATTCTTATTTCTTTGTGAATTTTTAAGTATTTGTCGGTTGGTTTGCGAGGTAACAGTAGTGTTGAAATGTTGTTATCTTGATTAAATATTGCCTTTGGTTTGGCATTAACAAACCTTGATAAGAGAATTGTTTGAAGGTCTAACTACAAGCGTGGTGACCGCACACTGAAAGGACCAAACGATTTCGGGACAAAGGACCAATTTTTGAGGGCGTAAAGGAAGTTCTAAACTAATACAACCTTGAATCAACATAATATAAAAGAGGAAACATCAATATAATTAATCTTCTTGGCAGTGTGCAGCCACCAAATTGTTTAGTTACTCATAAAAATCTAAGAAGAATTCTAAACATAACAGAAATAACTAAATATTGTAAGTTTACCTAAATCTAATAAAGGAATAGTTTAGAATAGATAATTATCTTAGACATGCGAAGTTTTTACTAACACGACTAATGCCCTTAGACATCTATGGCTAAATATTACAGATTTTTATTGAGCCATGGTGATTACCAAAAATCTTAGAAACCCTCATGACATATACAACGGATTTTTTTGGTGTCCAATAGTATATAATCTCTGCCCGTCAAAAGACTGCCCAAATTCTCCAGGTAGGCTTAATTCTACACTAGCGCCACTAATAGTAAACTAAAGACTGATCCGATTGTCTACTTCTAATCACCATGGTTCAACAAAACCCGTACCTAAAGACTGTATGCAGCTCAACGTACAAGCATTCTCGTTAGATGCATATAGTACTCGAAATTATCGCATAGATAAGTATGCATTGCGGAGTGAGTGGGAGAGGGTTGTATGCAGGCTGTAATGAGAGCAGCAATGTATGTTACCTCGAACTGTGGCCAGGCCATTGCCATGTTGATGCCATGGTTGTTGGCCCACCACTTCAGGTCCTTCTGACTGTCTGCGTTGTTTATCGTATGGTGGAATTCGTCGTAGATTTGGGGTAATCTGGAACATTTTGTTGGGAACATTGTATAGGTTATGTTTTAGGAATAACGTTCAAATTTTAAAATAATTGGTATTTTAAGGGACTGAAAATTAGTATACAACAAGTTAATATAGAGATTTACCGTTTAATTAGCCAGAAAAGACGTAAGTATATTGTAAAACGCCTTGGTTTTATGACTGTAATGTTATACTATTTAATTGAAATAAATAAATAAATAAGTACTTATACCTACAAAATCATGGTCAATTTTTGTGAACCAATTGGCATTTACCTGGAAAGACTTTGCCGTTTTCACCACCAACCCTTAAATTACCTTTTAACTAAGAGTTATTTAGCGTAATGGAGCACCTAAAGTAACTTTTTATTTGTGCTGTTAGGTATCACTTATGGGTAACTCATATAAAATGTAAAGTGACGCCTATCTTAGCTTAGGGGTTCCTTAAAGTTTAATAGACGTTGGTAAAAACGGGCGTAACGCCTTAAAAAAAACAGTAATAAATCAACAAATACTCACGAAGGTTCTTGACTGATATTGAGGCACTTGTGGAAGCTGAAGAGAACGTCTTTGAAGAATTTGAGCCTCTGTGCCTCCATCTGTTGGCAGCGCTCGAAGACTCCGGTCATATCTTCAATGTAGCGAGGGTTGTATGCCGTGATCTCTGCCAGTGCCGATTGGTACTTTTCTCTACTTTTCGCAACTTCTTCGCGACATTTGGCCACCCGTTCCGCCATTTTCTTTACCTGTGAACAATCATCGTTTGATTATTTAGTCTTTCTGATTTTTTTGAAGATGAATTTGTGGTTGAGGATCTAAGTTACAAGTTGGTGCTTTGTCTATACATTTGTTATAATGCTAGCGTATACTTAACACAATTCTAATTACTTAATGAATCATGATAAAACAGTGTATCAATAGACAAAATTCCTTTCTGTATTTTACACAAAGAAACAAACATACACTCATTTTTCTAACTAGAACTAGACCCACGTTTATAGTGAAAACGCTGTACAAATACAGTATCTTCACCGGATAATTCCAAACGCCTGCAACAGCGTTCAACATGGACATAATAGAATTGTAAGAGGAGGGTAGAGGGGTGTAGCGTGGCGAAGCGGGGGGGAGGTGTCGCAAATTGCCACGTCCGCCGGCGACGCGCCTAGACGTCAACGCATAAGTATAAACACCCTGTACAATAGTCAGTGTATAGGCTGTTGCTATTTTTCCAACTAAAGTTTTATAGTGGATTGTGGATTTAATAGTGGGTGGCTTTTCAGTGCTTGGGTATTGAATTAAATTTTGTGTTTACGGATATGGAAGTCTCTTAGTTGGTTTGTACACACGGCCACACATCAATCTATACAAAACCAGTTTATCCTGGTGTCGCGTCGCATCATCTTTCCGCACATTTAACATTCAGTTTATACTGGTTATGTAAACCTCGATGTGTAGCCGTGTGTACGTAAGGAATTCTTCGAAATAAGGTGTAGGATTGGTAAATAATAGGTCTCGGTTTCAAATAAAAACTAAATCTTAACTTGACATCCAGGATGCAAGTAAACACAAAACATTTACTTACAAATTATTTACCACACAGTTACAATAAAGTTGACAACCCTACAAGCCACAACAGGGTTGCCTCTAATTGGATAACTTTGTCACCGTACACGGCGTCGCTGCAGCGAACTCATTTAACTCATAATAATATTTACATAAAGTTTAAATTAACATAGCGAATTGTTTTACCTACGAAATACAATTATTATGAAATTAAAATATGAGAAAGGCGAAGCGTGAGGGCAGATATTAACTGATGCTGGAGATAAGGTATTGTGATATGACCCACTGCTAGTCAGCCTGGGTTTCGAATTTGCAAACCATATTATAGAGGGACTACCTCGTTGGCCGAGTGGTCGCAAGTGCGACTGCCGGGCAAGGGGTCTTGGGTTTGATTCCCGGGTCGGGAAAAGTATTACTGGGTTTTTGAAAACTTCTCAGTAGTAGCACGGAGTCTGGAATTGTGGCAATGGTATATGGCAATAAGCTCACCTCCTATTACATGGGACTCATAACATAAATAGTGAAAAGTGGGTGTTACATTGTACAGTGGCATAATGTGCACCTCTGGCTACCCCTTCGGATATAAAAGGCGCGATGTTATGTATTATAGAGGGTGAGTCTGTACTCTGTAGAATTTTTCAAAAGACTCATTGAAGACAATAAAAAAAGATATGAAGCCGAGATCTCCTATAAGAGTATGGATTATTGGAGATAATTAACTCGTCGAGTACCGGTTTTGTAGACACAATTATAGAACAATAGGTTGCGTTCACCGGTGACCGCTTGGTGTTTGACAGTTTAATCCTACATCTATCGTTACTACACACATGGCTTCTATGCTCATAGTAAAAGTAGGACGTGCAATAATCGGGTGGAAACCCTATAGCTAGGGTTGTCACTAATTAGATCACGTGGCGACGCGATGGAAGAAACGAGTTAATTAACTCATAATTATAATATGGCCACTTCGTAAAAACGTTGCGAAGTCTTTATTAAGAAATATTATTATAAGGATAAAGAATTAGCTTTGTTCTTACCACTGGAAATAGACATAAAAAGCTAGTTAGGTATCTTATTATTAAATTATTAAAAGATAAACAAAGGAAAAGATTATATTTGATGATGGTTAGATATTGTAAATATTTTACCAGCGCATTTTCATTTTTGTAAAAAAATTAGGTTCTACGTGTAACAGTTTCCATCTAGCTTCTATCTAGAGTCTACATAAATAAAAGCGAATAACTAAAATGTATGCTAAGGAAAAACTCCTGAACTGCTCGATAAAATTTGATAATTATTTTTATGAAAAACTCGACACTTTCGCGGGAACATCAGCAACCAAACAATTCCGAGATGGGCCTGTAGTTTACAATACTAATTAGAATTTCGTTCATACTACATAATTTTGATAAAAAAAAAACACCAAAATATAACTATTGAAATCTATTGCAATATCAACACGAAATTCAATACAAACATTAGCAGAATCACTAGCTAAAATAGTAAGGACAACAAAGGAATATTCTTCTATAATAAACACCTTTCTATAGTTTATCCCTGATGTATACGAAAAATCATTGTCTTCACGCAGAGCATGTGTGCTCTACGTGAATAAGAGGTAATTATATGGTATTAATTAGCCAACGTACAGAGACAAAAATAGCGATAATTACTATAGTAGATACTTATAGTAACCTTACCAATAACACCCGCTGATTGTGTTGCAAAATAAAAAAAATGATAAAATTAAAAATCAAAATTAAGAACAAGTCATTCAAATCTTGTTAGTTAAAAATTAAAATGAAAAAATCAAACTTCAATGTGCTTTCTCATCGCAATCTTAACGAAACTGTTGTATGAAGAACGAAAATACATTTTTATAATTAAAAAAAGATATTTAAATACGCCACCTTAACAATTAAAAATAAAAAAAAAACCACTAACCATAATAAATCCCAATTACACCTTTTATTACGATTAAAAACGAAAAGTAAAGTCAAACAAAAATTATAACGTCAAAAATCACAAGAAACTATGTAGGTACTCTCAACTGCCAAATAAAAAAAAAACAATTTTACCGCCTAAATGTATTTTTAATCTATGCTTATATAAGTTGTACAAGATGGAGGTGTCACCAACATAGGTAGGTACGGTCATAAGTAAGTCAGGTACGGTTATAAGTAAGTGCCGTCTAGATCGGATGCTGACTAGACGTCGGCATCGTGTCTCAAGGGCTATCCATCTGTCGCTACATCAGCGAATAGGGGTGTTGTAGAAAGGACAAGATAAGGTACACGATATTTTAGGGTGACTTTATGCGTAAAATGCGAAAAGAAAAATCTTCTTAATTATGATTTTTTAGTATTAGTATTTTACTTTTCCGTGGTATAAAAAAAAGTATAAGTGCAGAATATAACTTGAATAACAAGGATATGTACCAATGCATTTTTGGTCCCCAATGTCCACGAACATTAAAATGAAAATACTACTTAACCAATCGCAAAAATACATTCGCGAAGTTAGTGTGTTGATAGACGCGAAATAATGACACGTAGTTCCTCAAATTGTCTCTAATAAGCAGATATTCTAACAACCCTAGGTAACAATCTACCTACGGCAGGAGGGTGCGATTCAATGATGCGACAAATTTGTCGCCTGTCCATACCTGCATCGTCATTGGATTACATGACGCCATGGGCTAAGCCGACCCCTGGTTCACAATAAATTGGACACCGGAATTATGGTTATGTAGGGGAGACACTATCGATTTTCATAATAGAAGGATTTTCTGGGATAACGATAAGGTTGTAGGAAGTAGTAATAGTTAACAACTCAAATTATTGAAAATGGAATATAAGAAACATCTAGTTTGGAGTTGCGACTAGTGAATTGGGTAAGTGTTAATGAAAATGAACGGTAAAACCGTCATGATCATGAACAGCCCATAAGTGATGAGCAAAGGCGTCTTCTCACTCGCCGAAGGTTTGAGCATCACCACGTTAGCTCTATGCAGATTGGCGATTTCAAATATAATCAGCACTTATAATAACAGCAAAATACCTACTGAGCGCAAAAACTATAACGATTGGACAAAATAAAAAAAAACCTAGGAAATGAACAGAACAAAGACAAGTCAACTAGTATAAATAATGACACAAGTATAAGTTAAAATCATCAAATGATCACAAACGACATGTAATGGTGTAAATCTGTGCAGTAAGCAATTTGCCTGGCCAGTCCAGCCGGATCAATTTACTAAACAACTTGATTTCATTGAGCGACCTCATCATCCACTTGTTGCTACCAGAGCAAGCAATAGATAAATAAAACCCACACAATACGCTGAGATTTATTCTGCGGTATGATGTAGGAAAGAAGCTGAGAAGTACCAGTTTGTTTTCTTTAGGTACATTCTAATTTTAATAAATCGAAATTACATTAAAGACGTGAATTATTTCGCCATATTTGCCATTTTAAAACTGTATCTGAAATAAGTTACCGATTCCTACTTTATTAAAAAAAAAACGTTGCACCACCCTAGGATCTCCTGTGTCGTGGGTGCGTTTACAAATATACATTATACATTATACCCAGGTATAATGTGTATGTGTATGTGATTACGGGTCTGGACCCGGAACAACAATATGTGGATCACACAAAGAGTTGATCCGTGCGGGAATCAAACCCGCGACACGTTGCGCGGCAGCCAGTTGCCCAGCCACCGCACCGACGGTGCAGTCTAAACTAATTTCACTCAGTATTTTTTTTCGAAATAAATTCAGAACTTAGGGAAATTAAAGTGGAATGCAAGAAGCTATAGTTTTAACAACACTTTTCATTCATCTCTTGGGCTAACAGAGATTTGAATTCGCAGAGCTCCGTATTTATAAAGACCAACACAATACAAATTTCAAAACCATGTCATAATTCCCTCGATACAGGCTATTAAACTCGAATTGTCACACTAAATATTGTACAAAGCATCGAACGAACGTATGTCTCCCAGAAGAATTCGCGCGATCTCTATAAGCTTCAGCATGTGGACGGCAGCCATGACAGTTAATTTCCCGCCACTAGTTTCTAGGTCAACGGCTGTCAATGATTGCTTATGGTACTACAACAATAGTAACTGAATGTTAGGAATTTGAAATATCATAGTGATGTGTATATTGGTGTATTCAAT